GGGAGCGCTACAACCATGTCCGAGCTCCAATTGTTAAAAAGTGACCCCGCCCCCTTCCTAGTATCAATTCTTAACCACCACTGTAACCCCCCTCCCCTACAGTCATTTCTGCCGGCCACTATGCAGCTGACAAAATAGTAAAAGCCTCCTATACGGCTTACCGAAAAAAAACCTATAAGGTGTTCTTCTAAAAGTACCTATTTCCCGGTAGAAATTTACAAACCAGTCCGGTCCTCTCGCCGGTCCTTGTTATGATCTTAGCCTCCTATTATCTTGGCGATCTAACGCCAACTTGAAGTCACGCCGGAATATTTGACCATATTCTGTAGTAGCGGGAACGCCAATCTAACATGGCTGCCTATTTGAATATTCTCGCTTACATTTCCCGCGAGAATCTGTCACTCGGTGGCCACTCCGAGTGCACTAAGATCGTGATCGTCATATAGGACGCCTACGTTGTGTAATAACTGGGTTCACAGCAGGCACTGAGGGCGTTTTATGGGTAAGGAACACCAAAAGCAATAGCTGATTAAGATTATGTTGAAGTTAGATTACAGAGTGATCCGCATAATGGTTTTTAGTGGCGCCCCTGCAGTTAAGTTGTTCTATACCACTCCGGCATTTACCTTACGAATTGGGAAAACTCCAGGAAAACCTAATTCGGAGTAGCCCTATAATGAACAAAGCATACAGCTAACATCTAATGTACAGCAGTTTTGAGCCCTCCCGAGAGTAAAACTCTTTAGCACAAACAGGGGTAAATACTATGTACACGCTATGAGCAACCAAAATGGAATCGAACCATTCCCCAGGTATTACAACACATAGGTAGGTACATCAGATAAAACTAAGAGTTATTAAATGTGCCTCGCCGGGCGGTAGGATTACCCAGACCCAGTGGGGTGCCTGTACACGTGGGCTAAAGTTGTTGGGTTTCGGAACGAGTGCAAATGTTAGTGTTTGGTTCACCAAGGTCCGTATAAACTTGAATAACTTGATCCCCTCTAAACAAGCACATTTCCCTCTTGATTACTCACAGGCCAAATAAACAAATAAAATGGAGTGCAATGAAATAATCAAGAGTGACTAAAAAGCACTATACACTAATATCAGAACACATGCAAATATGTACACAATGGACACAGCCTTACCGACAATGAAACATAATTGCCAACACCACCAACAAAGGTCACACATTAGAGGTATAAGTGATTAAATCCAGTAAATAGGTACATAAGTAAAGGGTTACGATCTGCATTTAAGTTAAACACATTCAGAGCTTCATTGAATAAAGCAAATACCTCACCTGATATAAAAAACAAAAGCACACAGCAATGATTAAGGTATAACAAAATATTTCAAGATCAGCCGTACTGTAAACTTAAGCCGGTTACAAAAAAAGACCCTCAACACATTCTCTACATTGTATTTATTAACCTCCCCAAGCGACGCTGTAACTTGATCTCCTAACACCCCTAAAAATCTCCCGAAAACCGCCCATTCTCTGCATTTCACGCATTTCTAGGGAAAAAAACTGTAGTGCAGGTGTTTGAAATGGTAAACACATGTGGTCTTCCAAGAAATTCCGACAGAAATTCCATCCGTCTCATCTTCGCTCTCTTTCCCTCTTTTGCAATCCCACCAGATTTCGGTTGGCAGCTTTTATAACTAACATGATGTATAGAGTGCTTCGTATCGACAATCATATTCACAGGATGTTGCTAAGGTTGGGGCATCTCATCCTGGAGTTTTCCATAAGTAAATGCGCCCGGAAAATCATTCCCCGACCTGGAGCGGCAAAAGAAACACTGGATATGTTTGGTAGAACTGATAGAAGCGAGGCAGACGATTGGCGACTGTGTTTTAACAACTATGTCCACTACTATTCTTGTATACTTGGGTTACAGCCGGATTGAGCAGTGGTTGGCTGTGTAAAGGGGGTCAGCCCTTTGCTTAAAATAATCACAATTTAATGATTTGCGAGGTATTGAAGTTATTGAACCGATTTGACTAACTGTACGCATATAAAAATCAATAGATATTAATATAATGTAACGGAAACGCTCCAGACATGACGTCGCCTTTGGCGCTCTGGAATTTTCTAGACGCGCAATGGTGGGGATGTTTGCAGCGTGTCTGGTAATTGCGCGAATTTTCTGGACTTACATTGCTTGCGTGTATAAATGGTTGCGGACCGAACATCGCGGCAGTCTACTACCGAACGAGTACGGACGAAACATCGAGCGCGGAAATATATATTGCGAAGTGTGTGTGATATAAATAATCGATATAAATTGTACGGTTTTTATAGTGTTTTAGTTTTGTTTAATAAATATTGATATAAATCGAACTCGAATTTATAAATCACGTTACAATAATTAACTGAACCCTTAAAATTAACAAAGTTTAGTTTCTTGTAACGAAGGGCCCGTTACAAAAGTGGAACACTATTCACTAAATCAAATCAAATGCGCGTCGGTGTAAATCGGCTATTCCTAAATGTCGTAAAGTGCATATTTTCATTCAAAAAACGTCAGTCACCAATAGAATACGAATACACTTTTAGACCAGGCAAATTAAAAAAAAAAGTACCTACCTATAGGAAACGAACACTAAAAAATGAAAAAAATCGCAAAATATATTAAAATTAAAGACGAAAACTAGAAGAGAATTTAAAATTTAATTTCAATGACATTCAAAAAAATTTAGAATTTCCAGGAAAATTCTGCGTATTCAAAAACTTAGTGCACACACAAAATTGAAAGTTGAATTCCACTTGTAAAAGCAGTAATAAAATTAAGTGTCTACAAAAATGTACATGGTGTCACATTTGCGGCACTAGGCACTATAATATCTCCGTAATTGTTCTTGCTATCAAAATAGTAGGCGTCGTGTGCTCTTTTTCGACCATACTTAAAATGGTAAAATCTAAATTTGAAAATATTCGCTCGCTTTATAGATCTGGGGGAAAATAGAATTGTCAATTTCATAGTGACCATATATATATTCTCTTAATTAAAAACGATACAGAAAAATATTTATTACAAGTTTTTTTATAATGATTGTTGAATCATCTGCCGTTTTCAAAATAAGTATACGGGGCCAAGTAAAAAAGGTAATCAGACCTAACTTCATTTTTTAAATGGAACACCATGTATATTCTAATAAAAAAATATAGCATATTAAATTGTTTTTAAAAAACAACAGGGATATTCACGTGATTTAAAAAATTAAAATAGGACCAAATGATTCAAAAAATTCAAAAAAATTGTTTAGTGCAATATTTTTGAAAAAAGAATTTAAATATGCTACCTTTTTAGATTAAAAACAGGGTGTTCCATTTAAAAAATGAGGTTAGGTCCCGTAACTTTCTTACCTGATCCCGTATACTCATTTTGAAAACTGGAGATTCTTCAAAAATCCTTTCAAAGAAACTTTTGAATTCTGACATTTACATTTTACAATTTTTTATATTCCTCCGTTGTCTAATTTTGATGTTACCATTTTCAGCGAACATAATTAGACATTCAGAAAATGTAGAAAAATTACAAAAATCTCAACAAACGTACGAAAGCTTTCACCTACTGGTGACTTGGAAAACAAAAAGAATTGAATACTAAAAATTCGGACAACTTGAAAAAATTCCAAATGTAAGTACATAAAAATTGAATTGAAAATTGAATTCCATGGGGAGAAATCAAATATAAACTTAGGCGTCTACAAAAAATGTATCAAAGGCCCCTATTCTCGAATTTGGACATTAATTGTACACGAGAGTTACTTAGTGCGCATGTGCACTCTCTCACTCTCCAGTCTCCAGGGTCAAACCACGAGAATTTCAAATCTGGAGAGCTACATTGCTCACTCCTTTCCTATGTTCTCGAATGTCAATAGAGACATCTTTTGTTTTGTTTTTTGGTCGGAAATGGAGGACAATAATAATAATAATAATAATAATAATAATACATAAGATATACAATTAATGATATGAAATTTACCCAACACACAAACAGGCGCACATCAACAAATAACTGAAGAGTGAAGGGCACTTTTTTCTTCAACGGCTGTTAATTCCATTATTATTATGAAAGTAAAGGTTTTGTACATTTTCATTCGGAACCAGAGGCGTAGAAATAATTCTCATATCCACCTCACTGTAAACACTGCAATGCAGAGTTTCGGCACCAAAATGTCGCCTTGACGAAGGGCCCCGGCGCCAAAGTGTCCGGGTACCAAGGTGTCCCCGCGCCAAAGTTTCCAGGTGCCAAGGCCCAAGATAACGGCCCCAAAGTGACCGCGCCAAAATGTCCTAGACTGTCCACAATAACTGAGCAAAGTGATCATCAAGGTCATATACCCTCTAATATCTACATGGTAAACGAACCCAAAAGCACTTAAACCTTCCGGAAGCGTCTCTTCGAAACAGAAATTGTCACGGCCCTCGCGTCGCATTAGTTTGTCGGTGAATATTTTATTTAAAAACGAATTTTGTACCTTGTACCACAGAATCTTCGTGTTATTCATGGTGTTATTGCATAATTGGAAAACACGTCTGTATCCTGTATCAAGATCCTATATAAACTTTAAAAAAAACCTATACGCATTTAGGTATATTCGGCAACAGTAAAATTCATGCTTGAATTCCTTCTACGGTAAGTGTGACATTTACGTAAATCAACCCGACATTTTAATAGACGACCGTAACTATTACCTTTATCATTGTTATTATTTCTTCAAGGTTTTCTGGTAATATGATAGACATAGCATGCATACCAACTAAAGTTAAAGATACTTATTTTATTATCTATAGTTGTGGGCGTGCGAACCTACGACAACTAAAACTAGTATAAGAATACCCAGCAGGTATCAGTAAATAGATAATTATTAGGAAGTGAACACAAGTACAAGTCTGATTATCTGCTCCATGTAATATTTGGTGACCTTCCTACTTACACAATAAATATTACAAAAAACTCAATTTTTAGCGGTATTCAACTTACCTATTTGCAAAACGATGTTTACTTTCTTAAGTAGACCATAAAAACCGTTATCTAATATTGTCACAGGTGATCAACGTGTACCGACATTGTTTACATTTACAATTAAAAGATTATTAAATTTAATAGGATGCTATTCACGAGTGTAGTACACGTCGCAACTAGTTGACAGTAGGTAATATTTGTGTTGCTAATTTATCTAGTCCCACTCCTCTACAATTTAAGAACATTATAACTACACGATTTCATTGAGTAGCACAACCTCGCGCGGTAGTTCTCTATGAATCCAAGCGTCTCAAAAGAAATACCTTTTTCTACACCTAGTGGTTTTAAATTTATTGTGCGTACAAAATTAGATACGTTTTTGGGTAAATAAATTCGTACCCTGCATCTCTTTGGATTTGTCAAGCCAATTATGAGAATATAGCAAGAAGAACTAAATAAAGGTAGGTTAGTATAGGCTATGGCAAAGAAAGCTAAAAAAAGTCTAGATTTTACCACAGATTTAAATATACTACAGATGGATCATGAGATAGGCGATTGTGGAAACACAACAAACGTTCCAGTTGCTAGCGCACCTATATGAATTTTATTAAATCGAAAGTTTTAGTTTGCGTCTCAGCTTAAAATAATCAGCAGGAGTCTGTATAACGATGGCATAGAAGGTTTTTACTATTGATGGTGCTGAAAAGCAATATGATATGAATTTTTTCTTCGTAATTAAAACAATGGGTCTTTGTATTGTGTGTTTGTGTTCAATTACGACCTTGTGTGGGCGTATCTGTGGCCGTTCTCTCTCCTTTAATTTAAATTAATAAAATCCAAGAACAATTTTTTTCTATAGAATGGTAGTTTCAGTTTCAGCCTGAAAATTAAAATTCTGTAATCAACTACTATCAATTGAAAGTTTTGATATGTCTATACGTTCATTCAAGGCATCGCCAAATGAAATTGAAACCAGGTGTAAAATTCTTGCAGAACAGCTTTTTATAACTACTCGAAAACTTCACTCGTTATCTGTTTGTTTATTTTAACTTAATTTTACTTCCCGCACTTCAGTAAGGGAGGTATTGCAGTGGGGTAAAAAATGACCCCTATCTTTTTTTACGGGAATACATCAAATACATGTTTTGAGGCACCAGGAATTCGAATCAAACAAAATCTCGATGATGTATACCGGGTGATTTATATCAAAGTTGTACTTTTTTAAATAGAACTCATCTATATTATTACATATTTCGATTACTTGGTCGATTTTAGTGTGACTTTATTTACACATGATATCTAAAATGAGTGGCTGAGCGTCATTTTTTAAAAAAATAGATGTCCAGTAAAAATTAAAAACGAAGTTTCCATAAAACTTAGAAGGTCATGACGCTGCAGTATTACTAATTATCACGTGTGCTTACCTACATACGCCGAAAGGTCAAAGTTAAACTTTTTTTGTGCTAAAAGAAATCACTGTCAATTTTCAAAATTTCAATCAAAGATAACTTGATTTTTTTTAATGAAACTACCCAGTTTTTTATTGCATCAAATGTAGGATTTGATTACCTTTCTAACGATATAAGCACGCCGTATTTACCTTTGATACATATTTTTGTAATTCAACCATTTCTAATAATACACAAGGTTTTTCGCTTTTCAAAGCCTCTCAGTAATTAATAGGCCGTTAAAAGTTATAAACACCTATTCTAATTATAAAACAGGGAGTTATATTTAAAAAAGTGCAACTTTGATATAAATCACCCTGTATAACAATTGCAATTTCGTTGAAAATATTTTTAGGTTGTAGCCTGAAGAGTCCTTCAATATGCCCCGACAATGAATTTTAAATATTCTTTTCAAATCCTAAGTATTTAGTAATCGCGCTAATATCTCAAAATATATCGAAGTACTTTCTTCACTATTTTGTTCCGCATTATCATGCAGCCTTAGAAATTCATTACTATACCAAGAACAGAATGGTTCCACGTATATATCGTGGAAATTGTAACGTCTACTGCGGTCTCAACTGGGATGCAACATTTTCGATCTCACAGAAATTTGGTATCTGCGTCTCTTTAAGAGAAAAATAACGAAACCAAAATTGTTTTTGAAAATTCGAATTTTAACTGCAATTCTGGACCAGACATAGGTCTACGGTAGTTTTTAGCTCATTTTTGCAAAGTAGGATCGATGTCAAAACTCTAATTGCATCTTCATTTGTTCTTAATAGAAGCTTTTCATATCACTTTGGCCGGCTGACTGGCTGGTTGGATGGCTGCCTGGCTGGCAGCAAATGAGGGCCTGTAGACAATCGCATGTAGAAAGACGAGGAGTGTACGTGTCCATACGGGGCCGTGTATTAACAACTTTAGGGACGGGGCTACATGATGTGGGGACGGCGACATCTGGGCGCCATCCCCACGCGTGGTTTACTAACGTGGTAATTTTTAGTTTTTCCTATCTTCTTCTACAGTTTTGGCCGAGGTCGAACCCATAATCGCACGTCAAGATACAATTTCACAAGTCGTACGACAAAACCGTATAATGTGAATCTTGAAATATTTGGTTATGGCAACTCGCAAGTCGCAAGAGAAATCGTAATCAAAATCACATAACGTAAATTGCACTTATAAGAATCCCCCATTTACACGCTTCTAACTTGTATTTGAACTGACCACAAACAAAAGTTTCGTCAATAAATTACCAGTGGAACGGAGAAGAAAAAATAACTTTTTGTCTCATAGGCACAGCCAAATTATCCCTTAGAGCCTTGGGCGATTAATTTAACAGCCTCAATTGCAGATATGCTTTGTGCCTCGATCTTTAACAGGGCTGCGCGTGTAGAAAAAGCAACCAAATTACGGAGCTGAAATTTTCAAACAATTACTTCAAAATATTCAGACATTGAGATACTCAAAAAGTACCTAGTGTTTTCACATAACAATATTTTGAAAACTCTTTCGAATGCAGACATCAATGCGAGGCACCTTGTTTTAATGTAACCCAACAGTTTTTGATACTTTCTATCAGCTAAGTCGTAGAACTCTTTGAGTATTTTTCAATGCGAACAGTATAAATGTTAAAAAAATAAGTCAATTTTAACAATGGTGAACTCAAATCAACAATCCTTATAAGTTTTGTTTTTATTTCAGGGACGACCTCCATTGCAAAGGCTTTGTTGACACCTTTTACTATTTTTGCCACCAAAATTACCTACAGTTACCGTTGTCTCCACAAAAACCCCACAACTTTTGATTTTAAATCATTTAATGTTAATATACTTCCTTACAATATTCAACGATTATATCCGATTGGGATCCAAACACCAAGATTTGAATTTGCGCGTCCTTCTGTGGTCAAAAATAATGGACCAAGACGAGAAACAATTTTGTAGAGCCATGGTTTGAGGCATCTCACTCAGTCCATAATGTTGCAATATTTTTGAAATCCACCATCCATCAATACGAGTATACCGCATTTTTTTTTACAGAAAACCATGTTTTCTAGAAATAAAACCCTGTTGTAAACAACCAGCATATATAAAGAAAAAAAATCATTAATCCGCATGTGAGCAAAGGCGAAGAGTGCATTTTCAAATTTGTTTTTTCGATTTTAACAGCCCTTATGGACATTTCATGCCTTAATGAGAATACAAAAATGAAATAATTTTTAATTTCTGATCGAATGACACCAATACCAAGTCTGTAAGTGGTGTAGTTCCGGAGCCTTTGTGATTCAGACAGACAGACAGGTAGACATATCAAGAGCGCCAAAGTGTGCACATTTTATTTTTTGAAAATGAAAGTGTACTAAAAACGGAACTGTCACGTTCAAAACGGGACGTTTGGTCACATCTCACATTCGACTCATACTTATTCGCTAACTTGACTTAAATTCTCAGAGACGCCTATTGTTAGGTACCTATGTTGTTTCTCACAAAGACAGGCCTAACACCTTCTCTGATTAATTAATAAAAACTTCGTCTACGTCATAATTGTACTTTTAGATCGTCTTATCATTAAAAATACTATAAAAATCTAAATACGAGCACGGAACACGCCAAGCTGTGATCAGAGATGTAGGCATTAGAACCTAAATCGCACAAAATACCGTACCTACTTATAATCAAAAATAAATCAATTATACGGTAAACATCCTGCATAATTACAAATCTTGTTGGTTTGACAGAATAAGGTATAATCAGTCGTCGGTTTCGCCCTTCCGAGTTCCGATATAAAGGAATGTGTATGTGTAACTAACATAAACGCATGCTAGCAGAAAAATTGCGAGTGTAAATGGGGAAGGTCAGTTACATACAATACAACATTTGTTGGGCTCTGTGTAATCGGATACCCCTGTTTATCGCAACAGTTCTTGTCTTTCTTATTGCAGTTGTAAACCACGCGCAAGTTATTCATTCTACAGCGCTTCCTTGTGGACGCGGAATAACACTAATTTAGTTTGGATTTAACGCACCAGAGGCTTAAATCCAAAACACCGTTGCCAGAATTTAACATGGCATGATCCATCTGTAGTATATTTAAATCTGTGATTTTTGGTACAGTGAGATGAGGGGTCACTTGTGCAGTTAGTCGCATGACACGGAAGCTGCAACACTATGGGGGGGGGGGGCAGTTTTTCAAATGGCAATTAATGCTCGCCTTAGTTGTTCGATAGAATGAAGATGAATACTAAAACGGTTTTTTGGATTCGAGGAACTTCTTTAGAGGTATTCCAAACATAGCTTCAGAAATTATTTAATTGTAATTAAATGTAGTTTAGGTATTTTTGGTAATAGAAGGTCCGTCGAAGATATTTAGAACAGTGGTGTGGTTCACTGAATTCCATTCAGAAGTATTCTACAGTGTCTTTGAATATATTTATATTCAAAGACAGTGTGGAGAACCAAGGTTATCAATCCTTCTTTTGTAAACACGTCCAATACAATATCCAAGTAAAAGTAAAGTTTGCTTTGTAAATCAATATGTTGGAAGCAATGATTGGTTATTGACAAACAGCTTCTTATGATGGGCTACTGTCTTGATACTGTTTCTCTTATTTATAGGAATTGTTATATCAGAATCATAAAAAAGGAGATGCAAAATATATTACCGCCATTTAGATTTATGGTTTTATGTTCTAGTTCTCCAAATGCAAAATTATAGTACCTCATTCTTTCCTTAAAAAATGTACTAGGTATAAGAGGACGCAACAACACAAAACACTGAAGCAAGTGCGGTATGTAAAGCGGATCTAGGAAAGCGGCAGATTGGTGTAACCCTTCGGGGTCATTGGATTTCACCCATTTCCAACAGTCTTGCTACCACGTGTCATATAGGTATAAGTGAACGTGCGAAGTTTGAACCGAATCTGTCCAAGATCACAGAAACTCTATACGACGTTCAACATTTCTTAGCGGACACACGATAGAAATTTTTCTTGGATTACCTTCCATTAGCATCAGAAGAACACAAAAGATCAAAATTTATGGACAGACATAATTTCACCTGGTTTGATGGATCGGTGACCTGGTGGCCCATTACTTTTTTGTTGTGGTTATAACCGGTAGACGTAACAATTTTGATGTGAGTACCAGTGAGTACCTTGTTGTCATCGCAACAACAAATCTGATTTTTTTATACGTAACGGCAATTGCAAGTGTTTGACATCGACAGCCACACTCAACATTTTGATCCGGAAGAACTTGTTTTTCATCGATGATTGTGATACTATACACGATTTTTAGTAAAATTTCATGATCGTCGTCAGTAGTACAAGTATACAAGTTTATGTAGGCCTATAGAATGCTTCAAAACCTTCGATCTCTCCCTCTCGATTACCTTTATAAAGTTACCAGTTTTGATTCTTTGGGAATTTCCTTTAGCGTCGCTAACGTTGGCATACCTTTACTGCAGTCCCCACATGGGCGAGCCAATAATATTGCTGTGTGCAATGGTATGGTCAAAGAGAACCATACACAAAACACCTTAACCATAGCTAGCTCCCTTATCAAATTTCTCCCAGGACACATCTGAGTCCCGGAACTCGACTTGAAATTCCAAATTCTAAGACAAATAATGGCCACGGTCAAATTCCTTAAATTCCAAAAGGATTATTTACACAAATTTTGTAAACATCTGAAAGAAACTTTGGGTACTGATCAACAAAACTAATCATAATTAAGCATGAGATCGTTAAGGGGTTCGAATAAACACACGATTTACATGATTTCTCATAAACAAATGTATATATTTTAAACACAAATCAAATTAATCATAAAATTCCAACAATCAAAAATGGACTATAGCAAGGTCCGTTTACATACCCCACATAAGCGTAGGATTACAATTAAACAAATAATGATGTCGTAGAATAAAATTCTAAAATTCCGGGCACACAAAGCATTTATTGCGAAAGAAAAACACACTTAACAAAACGTATCGCACTAACTTGTTCCTTTAACTTATCTTCTGATCAGGTCACAGGAACGTAATTTTGCTCAATTTGAATGAAACTGGCTGACCAACCACGGCACTCCGGAAACAGTAGACGACAACTTCAATGAACAACTGCCACACTTCGCTTAGCCCTACCAAGTACACTGTGACAGTTTCATAAAATGACTAGACTTTTCGTAAATTGACGGATTTCATGAAGACTGCGATACCTGTACAGTGCGTAAATTTTAACTGTGAACATACAAATCTCCTATGTTCAATTCTTAAATATACAAGTCAATGGATTGATATGCCTGTCATTTATGTAACCCACCTTACACACAAATTTGGTAGCTGTGTAAACAAAGAAACTTAATAGATAGTTATTTTAGATAGGTACGTATTCGGCAGTTTTGTTTAACAGAATTTTACTAATTTGCTGTGAAATGTTGAATTCAATACGGACATGTGTGAAATTTCAAATTGTCTAGCTAAATTACGAATAGTGATGTAATTGTATTTTCTTCTGTCCTACACTAAAATATTTAGCTTTATTTCTACAATTAAAACACGGAAACTCCTTTTCTGGTGTCCATTAACAATTTAACCATCAACTCATCAACATGAAATTTTTAATGCTGTTGCGAATTGTGTAATTGGCGGAATTTGCTTATCGGGATATTTAGCAACATAATAAATCCTGCGATTATTGAAATACATCTATAAATTTCTATTTTTTCTTCTTTTGTATACATTTTATTAAGCTAGTTTTACATCAACAATTTCTTCATCAATTACTTCATTCAGTTGTTTGTCAATTTATTGAACAACTTCTTGCTCAAGTTCCTTGATTTTATACTGCTGTTAACTTGATCAATTTCTTGTTGTTTTGTAGGTACAATTTTACCGACATTTAATTATTTTAAGGTTAGGTTGTCATTTTTTTAAATTGTCTAGAAAAAAAAGTGAAAAGTGTAAAAATGTTTCCTCTATCTTGAATAAAAGATTACGGAATAGAAAAACAAAGAGCGTTATATTAGCTATAATTATAGCTCACAAAAATGAAAACATCTTGATTTAATTTTTTATGTTGGTTGATAGTAGTTGGTACTACTGAACTAACGTAAAAATTACCAGAAAAATAGAACTTGCGCTAATCCGTCAAGAAATTGATCAAGTTATTGCATCCAATTCTGTGTTTTAGACTCGTCAAATTTTATTGTCAAAGCGACTTGAACAAGAAATTGATCCATTTATTTTGTTGATGTAAAACCAGCTCTAAGAACATAATGAATAATCTTAATTTAATAAATAATTCAGATGTTGACTTATTGAAAAAAAATTTGAACAGGCTGAAATAGGTAAGATTGGTTGTCTATCTTAAGGGGTATTTGACTTGTTCATTTAAGAATTGAACATAGAGATTCGTATGTTTAGACTGTATTCATTAATACACTACCCATGATACCAAGTTGTGTTGTGTTGTAGTATCATGTACACTACCTATCTGTGCGTACATCCAGTGGCGTGGGTATTGGCGTATTGTTGTGTATTGTTCGAAGCGGTGACTTAGTAAGCGGTAATTAGTTACGCAGTTACGCCACTGTGTACATCTAGTCATGACGATTTAAACTTCAGGTTTAGAATACAATCTGGGGAAACGCCATGTGATGAAGGTACAATAGTACTCAGGGCATAGGCGCAACTAGGGGGGGGGGCTAATCCCCCCCCCCAAACCGAAATCAGCCCCCCCCCCAGCTGTGCGACAAATCATAATTCGTATGCAGCTTTACTTATTTGCCCTGCAAACCTGTATTTTAGTTTTGAACTCCCTTGCTACACGAGCGGAAGATTGTAGGCGTCGGCGTCGTTCGGTGGGAGTGAACTAGTGAGTCATCTCTCAAGCTGCAATCATATTGCCAGTTTCTTCAGCCACCTGTGAAAGGTCATTTTCGGATATGCGAATACCTAGTTATGAGCTGGTTAAGACAACAACAATGACTCAATACCGTTTCTCTAATATTTCTCATTTATATCCTAGAAAGAGATGTTTCCGTCGATTCCGAACAAATTCTTAATAAATTTCCAGGAAAAACTAGAGAAATACCTTTAGGCCTGTAGTAACATCAATAAAATTTACTTCTTGTATTTTATTAATAATAATAATAATAACATAATTTGATAAATTTACATTTGGTACCTAATGTCTTTAATAATGTGAATGTGATGATCAGAATTCAGCAAATTTCAACTTAGTAGAATGGGAATGCTAAGGAAAAGAGATATAAAAATTGGATGGTCTTTTGGAATGGACTTTATAATGTACACCGGGCTGTAGCCCCTCCCGCCCCCCCCCAAAAGTTGAAGTTGCAGAGATTAACTACAAATCTGTGGCAATAGTCATTCTAGTATGTTTCGCAACATGGAACGTAGCAACCATGTTGCATAATGAGGCGCCGTTTTAAATTACTAATTAATACAATACATATGGAAAATAGGTCCAATTTCTTCACACAAACACGTGTGCCAGACTACGTTTGGTAAGTTTACAGTATACTCGTACACATAGGACACCGACCGATCCGATTAAACAGGACGCACACTATTATCGCGGATTGGAATGCAATGGAACGGAACGGAAAATTTGAAACCATATAATTAAGTTAGAGTTCGCGGATCGGAACACCGCGGAATGGATTGGAACGGAACGGAATAACTTGGATTGCTCACTGAGCGAATTTTTCCGTAGTTCCACAGCCCTCTTCGTTTAGTTTAGACGAAGGTGCGTACAAAACGGGTTTACTCCTATAGGAAATAGAGTAATATAGCTTTCACAATTGACAATATACCTACCGTAGCCATTTTGTTTTCTCTCACATTTCTTGCTTCAAATTCAAAACTACACACATCGCTACAAATTCTTCGTCTAACGTGTCCATTGCGAAAGAACAGTAGTACCTACACCCTAAAACTGAATCAAACTAGTCCAGTAATAAATTACTAAAATTACTCATATACAAATAATTTTTTCCGCGGAATTCCGGGCTAATATACGGAGATTCAGAATTTCCAGTCCATTCCGTTCCGTTCGATTCCATTCCGGTCCATTCCATTCCGCGATAGTGTGCGTCCTTCTTTAAGATCGAAATTGAAATTGTTTGTCGATACATGCGAACTCATGCGCAGACGAAGAATGACGCAAAATTCTTAAAATCCTTATAGATTCGGTATAGTACGTACCTATTTTCTTTATAAATATGTAAAAGAACGGTTCCTCTTCCTATACGTGTAGACAACCAGCAGAGTATCCGCGTATTCCTAAAAATACCTACTTACCTACCGCTACCGGCGCTGACGCATTATGCGCGCACACTTGAAATTACAATTTCCCCACCTGGTTTAGTGACCGCAAAACAATATCAACAACAGGTAGAATTTAAAAAGTTTAGTCTTTAATCAAATGCGTTAAGATAGTTTTGTCGCCGTCTGCATATTGTTTACAAAGTGCGTAATAAAATGGCAGGTTCCAAATTGAGTTTAGACGATAGCGAGAGATTTTCTTTAATGAAGGTAATATTGTTGTAATCATTTCAAAAAAATATGCTTATTAGAATTTACTAAGTGTCGAATTAATTATGTGGTTTCAATTTGTTAATGGATTATGTCTTATAAACAAAACTGTTACAAAAACTAATTAATGTCGAAGATGAGATATACCTACCAATTGACATTACAGTAGGTACAACAGAAAGTGGAACGACACTTACTTAATATGCATTTTGTTGTAGGTAATTTTTATTTCACAATTAATTTACCAACATTTTATATTATTACATTTCGATAACCTTCATTTTTTACTTATGGAATGCACGAAATCGCGTTATACATATTTAAATTTTCATTATTCATTCAGCTAATTTTCTTCATTCATAGCAGGTACTGACATTTTCAAGTCCATTTTCGAATCCCTATCAATATAAGTTGGCTCACATTCCACCAAGAGTATTTAAATGGTTTACGGGAATTTGAATATCCAATTACTTTATTGAGCCATAGAACAAATTAACTATTCTGTTCCGTTCTCTAATCCCTTTACTTGTAGAAATCTACGAAATGTAAAAATCGTCGATGGATTCCTTGAAGTTAGTCATTATTTTTTACGGCACGAATATAATAGGTATATAGTAACAATAATACCTAATTAACACTATCGATTACACCCATAATGAAGTAAAGTATGAAATATTTCCATAACCAATGGGGAAATATTAATGAGTATATGCATAGTAGACCGAAATAATTACAGCACATATAATGATGTCAATATATACATATTTTGCAATATTGAATTTATTGATGGATGTGACAATTTTTAATAGCTTTTCACGTTGTAATTTCGCAAGAGGTATGGCGGAATATTTGCACATACCCACATCATTCATTAGGTGTCTACTCGTCTGGACATGATGGTGTTGGCGTGTTGCATATAGGTAGGTATATGTAGTTAAAAAGTTTAAGCTGCCATCGTTTTTTTACGAACGGAATTTTTCCCATCTGCCCATAAAATCCTCAATAATGGATTTCCACATTCGGAGTTTAAGTGAATGGTACAAAGATTGGGGATTTTTTAAATGATGTGCACTTACGTATGTAGATAACAATGGTTCATTAGTAATCTACCTACAATTATTATTTTATATCTATAAGTATATGCACCCACAGAAGCTTTTGACATTTATTCTTCACTAATTTGACCTAAGTTTTTTGGCATCATCCCTTTTCTTAGGGTGATTGGGCCTCTTTATTAATATGCACATGAGGAGTGTAATGCTTGCTACACCTCCCTGGAAATGTTTCCATCAGTTACGGCCAGACTAAAATAAGTGGTCCTTACACAGTTATCTTGCATAACCTCTCTACATGTTGCAACGCGGGGCTACTATTAGGTAGGTACCATATACTGTTTGTTTAACATCAAACAAGAATAAATTGTGCAAATCATGCAGAAAAAGTACAACTGATCTCTCTTTATATTTGTAACTTTGAGCTCTCAAAGACTTTCAGCACAACCGACACCAAATAATACCTAATGATTCGGCCATTTTGAGTCCTTGACCTTGGAAACCGCACGTTTCATCATTGAATATCCATATTCAATGGTTTCATCTTATACCTATAACTGTTGGCACTGTTGCCTTATCCGTTTATGTCTCAATTTCGTTTGGAAAAAGGTCATGCATTTGATCTTGATGACCACAACACAACACAATTAAAATAGAATTACGATCTTACGTAATTTAATAGTCTAACCCGATTAAGCATAGGTACCTACTATCGATTACTAAATAATGGGTTAATAAAATTTTCGGTTAAACAATCTACTTGCAGATGGATATAAATTATTAAACATTGAATGAAAGTTAATTGGTAAAGTATTGCCACAGGTTGTAAAAACATTCGGCACGGAATATTCTCCCCAGAAATATTCGCTCCCATGGTAAATTCGTCTCCGAGAGATTCGCCCTTGGGAGTAAATTCGTTCCTGGAAGATTTACTCCTGAACATTTGTCCATTTAGAATTTGCTTCCACTGGAATGCTCCTTTGCCAGGAACTCGGCACAAGGAAAATTCACGTTCAGTAACATAGATGGTAGTAGGTTAACAGCATACAGAATTTCCCCATAAAGGTCTTTGCATCTTTAAAGTTATAGCAAAGAGCTCGGCAAAGAGTACCTAACCATAATTACTCTTTGGTTATAGCGACACCTGTCACTTTACCAAATTTTATACTTTATCTCTATAATTAAGAGTTTTATGAGAAAATATCTTGAACTTATCGTGGTATAAATCCCCTACGCTGCACCCTTACCAAAGGGGATGCATAATAATTCAACTTTCAACCCTTGCTAGTGGGGATATTTGAATCACTGTGAGATTGTAGGGCTTTCTAATATACGTTTGAAACAAAAAAATGATCTCACTTCAGTTCAGCTTCATCCTTAAAATCTTTCATCATCATTTTCAGAGGTTTTGGGGGTGGTACGGGGGAAGCACAAGGGGTGGGAGGTCGAAAACTTAGATTCTTAACCACCAGATGACTATCTATGACATGCAAAAGAAATTGGAACTACTTCTCATTTTGCAAGTTAAAACCCTCTATTCCCTGGACTATATGTATAATCTTGCTAAAGTGAATCGTTCCAGAGTTACGGAGGGTTGGTCGCCAACATTCATCTGTTTCCTGCGGTCCATATGTATACATTTAGAAACATTTCCAGTATAGGTATATGAGACCATTGTATAGTTAATGTGGACAGGTATTACAATAACATATTCTTTCGCTACTAACGTAATTTCGCGTATTAAATTGGTGATTATTAAGCACTGGTACTGCTAATTATTTATGTGCCTAAGTAGGTAGTTAACTCAGACTATAAAATGGAGCTCCTAAAAGGGGTGGAGTTTTGACGTTTAGGTTTCGTTTCTCTTTTGTAATTTCTTTTGATAAAAATTTATATAACTATCTAATAATTATTAGAAAATTACTGTTTTTCTACTTTGCAAGTGCCATTTATTACGTGATTCTTTTGTTTGTGGATTTTGTATCATTACGGTTTTTGACCACTTTGCGTGTCAGTTTGGACTCTGAAATTAACCTCCCGTACATACGTGTAATTGAGATTACGAAATAACCGGCAAGTAGTTTTTTTTTAAATTTTCATATCTGCTTTTTATTGTACTTATTTGTTCGAAACGAAAAAACCAAACTCAAAGATAGTTTGTCGTGTCGCCGCAATTTACCACTTTAGCTAGTTTTAATGTTAATATATCTCCTATCTTATAATTTCTTTTGATTAATGGTATTCAGTGTGCTCATACAATTTAGCGGATAGACATACCTACACATAAGAGAAGATAAAACGAAGTGGATGTCAAATAAGATAACCCATCGTACGAATTCAATCGAATTTGCTTATCATATTCAACCCAACACTACTTACCATGTAGGTACCTACCCTCACCTGAAAATGGACTCAAAAAACAATTATCTTATAAAATACAAAAAATTTAAAATCACTATTTACGTACGTTTTGCGTGTAATCTTAAACGCAGCGATCGGATCATGTACCTACAACTATAACCTATACTTAAACATCATAATATGCTAAATATTTCCTGGAAAACGGAAAATATATCCGATAGGTATTCTCGTACGATTAAGCTGTTGTGCGCAGGTGCGCCAGCCTGTTCATACCAACAGTTTTCAACTTTTGTTATTTGTGTGTGCCATACATCGTAATAAAAAATGCTACCCAATACAGTATGTATTTTTTACGGGCCATATAACAATTAAACTTGATTACTTTCCGAAACGAAACGTTGTATTGAAGATCTCTTAATGCTATCTTGTAGAGCGCAAATAGTGGCAATGAGAAAGTGTTTTTTTTTTATTTTTCTGTATCTGCTCAAATAACACTAGAAAAAAGTAAAAACAACATCGGCAGATTTCGGTTTTTCTGACCTATCTTCGAAAGTAGGTAATCGGAAATGTCTGGTTTTCTTTACACTTTACAGCATGGTAATAATTTTTTAATTGCGCAACTTTCCTCTAATTTGACCATCTTCGTATCTTCTATGGTTTCCGGGATCCCCAAGATCGACATCCTTATATCTTGGCCACAGTGTAAGTATATTTGTTTAAGAAAGGCAACTTTTACATAATCCGCCTATTGTGAGAGGTATAATTTTTTGTCAATGTTTGGTCCTTTGTTTGATGCTGTTTACATAGTCTCTTTGTAGTTTGTATGTACCTAGTGTTTTGACTTTTGAGTCATAGCTTTATATTTTGTTTTTTGTAAAGGAACAATTAGGTAACTGTAATTTCCAGTGGGGGTAAGACCGCGAGTTAGGGCACAGCCATCACGTGTTTTGTTTTTCGGCTTATAGAATAATAATTAAACCTCGAATTAAACCCTATTGCCAACCTTGATTAGTTTATCGTGAGTTGGGTTGCCATCTCAAAACTCTGCCAACTAGGACAGGAAGCGTGAAAACCCCGGATTTAGGGATTATAAACCCGGACATATCAACTGAATTTGATAAAGAAATGTTTAAAGAAATAAAACAAACAATTTATTTTTCTGAATAAAACAAAGCGTACTTTATCACGAAACAAAATCTTCTTTAACTGTTAGGAATCAGCAACGGCTTACCTAAATTTTTAAATTCTTTAAATGAAGCAATAATACACTTTTTTAACAAAATAAAATACAGAAGCTAATCACAATCATTTTTAAATTTACTTATTTTATTTTGCCTTTATTTTTGAGTGGGCGGGGTTTTAGCCAAGGCTGCTCTACCAACCCAACCCACTATACATTTACAACAATCCATGCCCGAACCTGGATTCGAACCAGGGACCCTTAGCAGCACAGTCCAGCTTTAACTGAACTGCGCCACACGAATGAAACAAAAATTTGGTCTTTTAATAAAATAAAATGTTTAATGAACTATTTACTTTTCAGGTCTTCGGTATTTATCCGTCTTTCCAATAGCCTTTGGAATAGGTATCTTTAAAAGAAATTTATAAAAATCTAGGTACACAATTTATAGTCTTTGAAATTGTACTTTATTTTTATCACTGACGAGACTGTTTCAATATTCAATAAAATCCTTTCTTTGGTCCACTGTTATGCCACTAGTGAAAATATTCTTTCAACGTTGGCATTATGAGCAAGAATGCAAAAAAAGTACTAGGCAATTTTCAAAAACTCCGACTATAAATGAGCATTCGGTGTTTTAAAAAATTGTAACCAAAGCTGAGTTGGGCTTAAAAGTTTATCTTGTTGGCTTAAATTTTGACAGAGAGATTTTTAGTTCACCCACTCATAGATGTGTCAGTAGCTCTCGCAGTAGCCTAAAACCCGGACTACCAATGAAACCCCGCCCGGACGCTCTCCGGATGCCCCCTAAACTAGGACACATCGGGGGAAATCCGGACGGATGGCAACCCTAATCGTTAGGGCCACAGTATGATTAACATTGCGTCCAAACAATGAAGATATACAGGGCGTGCCCAATGTATTCTGCCAAACGATCTGCAGATAAATGAAATCGATCATTTCATCTATAAAAGTCAATAGATTCATTTAAAATTGCGCATCCAAGTCTCTCGGATTAGTAATCCATATATGTTTGCCATCTAAATTGAATTGCTCACCATTTGCATGATTTGAGCATTTCACTAGAAACGACCAACCGTACGCATAAGAAGCATAACCATAGCAAAGTTGTAATAAATTATAATAATCGTACGTACTCGTACATGATGATTTTCTGTACTTTACAGCAACAAAGTGCAATTGACCAAGTTTTTTAATTAGGTTTTTAACCATTCCATGGCGTCTATTATCTTTGTCGTGGTGACCTTTGTTCATCGTAAAGTCCCTTACCTTCGCGCTTGCTTCAATCTGTTTTTTAGGTAAATTTTAAATCTTGATGTTTTCCTGTGTCTGCAATTTTAAGTCAAAAAATGATATGAATTTAGAGTGCTTAACTACATATTGCACCGATTTACGTTTATCGCGCACATACCCACTGCTTGCGATTTGGCCACCTATCTGTCCGTCTGTACCAATACACAAACTCCGTCCATTTCGATGTTTTCAGCACAACCTATGACCTATGAGAGTACGATTGGTGTAGCTGTAGATCATAATTTCACTTTTCTATCCGTCGTTCCACCCAACAGTATTGTTACATTTGTGATTAATTAATTAATTGAAACAATTTTAATGTTCGGTCTGGGAAGAGAAAAAAGTACTTAATACGATAGCGAGAAATCAGCTGCTGTATTTTACGATATACCTAGGCGTAAAGGTCACGTCCATTTATTAAAATAAAATTATAGGTACCTTCATTACAGTTCTGAAAAAGTGATTGATTCTGAAACGAGTTTTACAACATAGCGTCTACAGTGGCGTACTAGGTAACGATATTATAGGATCAGGAATTATAGGCACACGCTTTAATACATAGGTAACATAGTTTGATGTGACGAAATCGTACATTCTCTACGACTCTACATAGTCTACATGATTTAAATTCAATACAATTCTCATGATGGTATGATTGTTATTTGTTTTGTCTGGGCATAATTGCACGGAATCGTTGAATACAATTTGTTTCAATGACCGAATGTAGTCCCATAGAGATAGCTAATTGTAGGTAGGTACACTTATTCTTCCATTAGAAGAAACACTAAGACTTCGCCAGTAGTAGGCTAGAACTACAACTAAATCCCACCCTCTAATTGACAAGCCTGTATTATCGTCATTAATGCGAGTGCAGTTTGCGGTCTAGGTAAATAGTGTACAAAGAGGTTAAATATCGCAAACACCGTCTGCGTCAATTAGAGCAGAAGAAACACTCTTCCTTTCCTTTATTGCAGTGTTCATGTTAATTAATCAATTTTATTGCTGGGGTTGGGCTTTGCAGACCGTGATGTATGACTATACGCAACGCGGCAGTTCAAACAAAACAACGTTCCGCTTCAAGAACGAACCTACCTCAAGGTAACTGATGACTTTTTAAGGTAGACAACTTGGCGATTTGAATAAGAAATTTAATTTATTTCTGCATGAATGCATCCACGAGCAGGTTATCAACGTAAGACAGGGGCAAATTAGCATAACAAAAACAAAACAAGGTACTTGGTAGGTAGATGAATAAATTGTTTGCTTTTCAAGGTGTTGTCTTTGTATCAACATCAATGTACAAAACACTTTAATCCAAATAAAAAATACATCTTAATCAAACTCGTCACTACTTTCTTCCTTCTTTTCACCTCGGGTGATTAAGTGGTAGGTTTCGGCTTCTAACGCCAATCGCCTAATGTTTCCCAGACACCCAGCGGATGCTTCCTGCAGTTTTTCGTCTGTCGATCCCACCGTTTTTAATAGGAAAGGCACGACGCCACTTTCGTGCATGGTAATGCAGTTGAACGGATTTTTGGAGAGGTAGTACAGTGCCAGGGCGGTCGTTCGATGTACGTTTGGATTTCGAGATGCCATATAACTCACCAGTGGAGTAATCGCCCCCAACCTGTAAATAAAGAATTTTTTGTATTTTCATTCAACTAATTCTTGCTATTAATCCTTTATCCACTTATAAATAATACGTATATATATACATACATAACATTATCACATAGTGGGTAGGCTTTTAGCTAAATCTATATTCAGTCAAATTGTGCACAACTCTTGTGCAGATAAAGCGCATTTTTTTAACCGAAATAGTTTTTGTTTTCACCAATGGATATATTTCTTGCAGACGTCTCAATCGCCCTTTGTTCTTGAGGTATAAGGGAATAGATCCGATTACGATAAGAGGACGAGGAGGAGGGCTATGGTTGGTAGAAATTAATTCCTTTCGTTGAGACCTTTCATTAGAGTACCATGAAGAATAAAGCTAGTTAGGACCATTCTCCTAGAAGTAGTTCGAAACGGCAGAAGTGGGTCCGGACGGACGGACGGGCGGAAAAAATGCAAACAATAGAGCATATTTTTAATTCTTAAAAAATGCGCTACCTAATTATATACAATTCGATTTTAAAAATTTTCAACAGCCTTAAAAGAATGAGTTATGTATTATGAGTTAAATATGGTATGGTTACTAATGGTGAGGACTCTTAGCCGCCCAAACTCGGAAGTACTGATTGTCCGCTAGTTTTATCCAAATGATTGAAAAGGACAGATTTTGTGTATTTAAAAAACTTCCGCTACCGTTCGTATTTATAGTAATAGTTTCTAATTGCTAAAACTAGTATTAAAATTCAATCTTTAAACTGCTAAGTACTACATCGATGCCCGGATCTTCATAATTACTGGTGGCGTACTAGAAAAAAAAAACCTTTAAAAATTGTGAGTATCCGAGTCCCCACACAACACGGTTTTAGAGCTGGGCTCCCCCTCTCGTACTACCATGTGTAAGACTAATATCGTCTAAAATCGTCACAATCGAGAAAGCAGTCATAATCGGTAAAAATACAAGTCGAAATTTTGTCATCCTTCAAATACCCTTCCCCGTACAAACTTCAGTCTGGGGTTGCGGTTGCCGTGCTGTTGTTTAGTCGCCCCCTACGACACGGAGTGTCTCTCGCGGTAGGGTTCTTCTTCCCCGCTCCTACACAGGTAAATGCCAGAAGAACATACCAAGAAATATCAACCAAGTAAAATTCGAATCAAATAAAATCTGTCAATAGGCTCCCGTTACGTTGACTAGATTAAAGGAGTTTGGGTGTTCTTTATAAAATGTCCATTTACTCTTTAGAGGTTTTTCGTAATCCTTCTGGGGTCCTTGAGAAGTTATTGGGAGACTCTTAAGAGACCCCTCATGAATATTGTGAAAAGTTCAATTCTTTGGCTCATGAACAATGTGTTACTGCACGCTGTTCTCCTGCACAGTCAAGCAACGCATCCGCCATAGTTAAGGACCCCATTCCGCACGTCAACGAAATGCTAAGTATGCTACGTCAAGCGGACGTTTTATTTGGCTTCGGTACCTAAAATAACGATGAGACACCTTGTATGTAAATTTCTATTTTATTTTAAAGCGTAAATGTGGTCGGTAATTTTGAGGGTAAACGCAGATCTGATCAATGTTGTACTTGCTTTGTTTAATTTTTTTATTTTATTGTAAAGTTCTTTTCTTAAATTATGGAACATCTGAAAATTACTAGCGTAGTATTATCTCATGTTTCTCTCTGGTCGGAGATAAGAAGTTTTCTTATCGATGCAAATTTCAAGATTTCAAGATGAGGACATGTTATATCCGTGTAGAAAACACAGGTGTAGTTTGATTTTTTCGAAGACGCTGTATTTTGTTAAAGAAGGAAAGCACTGAAGAATCCAGAAAGATGACTAAATATGGATAACCGCAAAAAGTCTGCGCCAATTTGCAAAGAATCTTTGAATAGGCTCTAATGAAACCCCAAGATATGTATGTATGAATAGTCGTTTGAGAAGTATGTCACTCATTAGGGCTTATTAAAATATTCTTTAAAACTAAACTAAAAATCTTTTTAAAATATTTACACATTTTCTTAAAAACCTTTAATAATCTGTGAAGAAATTCTGAAAGATATTTACCCGGCCGGCCCGTGTGGTGCAGTTGAGTTAAAGTTTGTCTGCGGTATTAAGGGTCCCTGGTTCGAATCCGGATTCGAGCATGGATATTTGTAATTGTATAGTAGGCTGATACCCCGCCCACTTAAAAATAGAGGCAAAAAAAATTTATAGAATTTTGGAAGGAAAAAATTTTAAGTATATCTTAAGAATCTCTGAAAAATCCTCGTAGATTGTTGCATTGTCATAGGCTCTCTGACGGATTCTGTACTTTTTAAAGGTTAAATTTACAAAAGACAGCGGAAGCTTAATACTGTAAGATAAGGTAATCGCATTTTACTTGTATTTGTATGTTCAACTCATTACCGTGCATTGAAGGGTAAAAAATTAAAGTTATATTATTGAAATAGTAAAAAAAATTCTTATAGCAAGGTATCGGCACCTTCATGTTTTCGGAGTGTGTTTTTATTCATTAATTTGAACCCACCTAGGACTAAAAAAATGTTTCACTGAACAGGAATAGTGGAGAATGTCTCCAGAATTCCTCGTAGAATTAGTGCATTGTTCTAGGCTCGCTGAAGGAGTCTGCATAAGGGTTTTATAAACATTTAAATCTTGTCATTGTATTTGTGTAACAAAATCTCCGATGAACCTTCAATGAAAGTCATTGAAGATGTTTTAAAATATAAGGACTAGTTTATAGAGTTCTATGGAAAGTTTATGAGGAATTTGGGACATAAATAATGAAGGAGGAATGCTGAACAATACCGAAATACCTAAATTTAGTGTAGCATAGAGAAATATGAATGATGAAGAAACCAGGTTAATGCTGAGAATATAGCCTCAGGATCCCGAGGTGACAGCATGACTGAGATAACTTGTGCCGCAGACATGAAGATCTGAAACTTGAGGAGACTGTATAGCATCATACCTACTACATTGTTTTTCACTCATAGCTGTAAACCAATTTTCGTTAATTCGCTTTCACTTTCAAATCTTTACTTTAATTATGCAACGGTAATATATCAAATATCCTCATTTTTTATCGTATTACGTAAGCAATATTTTTTGTAGAGTACCGGGTCCTTTACTGTAACGCTTACTCTTGGTACCTGTTCTTTAGTACTTTACTTTTTTCTCGTGTTTGTTACGACTACGGAAATCTTCCTTTTAAATAAACAAGAGATTAATCAAACGAGCCTGTTTATGGTACCTCTCTCCTAAAAAACTAACCATAAACTAACGTTAATTTGGCTGTAAAAATGATCGGACGCAAACATCGTTCAAGCATCATTTTGGGATAATTATATCAAATTATACTGTTTTTATAACACCTAGACATCAAAGTTAATTTGGTATTTACGTAACATATCAAATGGTAAACGGGCAAGGTGAAATCAAGATAAAGGAAATTACCTTCCGAATTGCTTATTATTCGAACCCCAAGTCGAGCAGTAGGCAATGGCGGAGGCAAGATTCTCTCGTAACATCTCATCTTTTGTATTAACTAAATTGACAAGTAGCGGCACCACACCATGGTCGCTCATCACCCCCAAATTCTCCTTGTCTTTCGCCACTTCGGAAATTGCGGCGCAGACCGCCCCCAAAACGAGATTGTCGGTAGACTTCAGCAGCGTAACAATTAACTCAAGGCCGCCGACGAAGCAGCGAACCATTTCTCCGGAATCTAGGGCGTTTCTTACACATGGAACCAGTGACCATGCCGCGTTCGCTATTACCTAAACAAAACCGTTGATCACAGCGAAAATCCGCTCATTTTTTCACCTTGGGATTTGAATTCTTTAGCAGAGACCATATCAGTCTTACTCCATCCAGTTCCTCTATTATTCTCATACTCTCGTCATCTTCCGCGCACTCCTTGAGCACTTTCGGTACATTTTCTAATAGCGGAGGAAAAACGAAATTGAGCAAATTAACTAAGTGGGGAATTCCTCCGGAACCTCTCAATATATGCCGATTGTGCTCAAACTTGACACACTCTGAAAGCGCACCCACCGAATTACCAAGCACGGTGGAAGCTTCTTCCACGTTCCCAATTATTCCAACCAGTGTCTTAACAAAATAATCTGATTAAGTATCTCGCAATTGGATGATTTACCTGTACGGCTTTTAGTTGATCGAGTCTTACGACGTTCTCGGGGCTGATAGCGCATTTCCAAATTGCACCGGTCACCGCTGCCAGCAGCGGTTTATCGGCACGTGCCTTTGGGTCTCTTGCCATCGCGACTAGGGGATCCAAACCGCCCGCCTCCCTTACTTGGTCTCTAGTCAGTGGGTTTTCGGCGCATTTAAATATCGTTTCGGCGCAGTACCGTCGCAATTGAGGGTATTCCTAGTGCACGCCTTTAGTAAGTTAAGACTGACATGTGAGATTACCGCTGCGGAAAGATGTCGCACAATATCCTTGATCATTCCCTCGGTTTCAATCGCTAGCTGATAATGAGGATTGTTGGCACATTGGGAGATTGTGCCGACTGTTGGTATTACCACATCGATGTGGATCGATCTGAAAATGAATCTTGTAGTCTACTCTTCTTCGTAAAAATACGAGCAACCTCAACAAGCGAGCCAGAAGCGGTACGGAACCGCTTTTCATCATAACGTTCACATTCTTCCGACTTTGCGAGACAGCCCAAAGCGCCCTAGCCGCCGCTTTGGCTATATGAACGAACTCCATATCGTCCTCGCTGAGCTCAGACCAAGGCGTAATTAAACAATGCTCACTCACGTCCAACAAATCTATCAATTTAGGAATACCGTCGTACTTCCGAACCTGTTTCCGCGCCTTTCTGATTTGCGCAACGTTGTAAATGGTCTCGCCGACTAGTATTTGCAGATCTCTAGCAGGATCGCTCAAATTCTTTACGAGAAGATCTATGGCACCTAAATCGGCGATGCACTTGCGTATTTCCGGATTTTCGGTGAGCTCGGTTAAGACCGTCAAAGCCCCCAGCTTACATTTCAAATCTTTGGTTTCTAACAAATTAATTAAAACTTCTAATCCTCCAATGTCCTAAAAACTCATCTTAAGGTGTCAATCAATTAAGGTAGATAAGCACTTGAATTGCCAGTTGATTTATTTCCGTTTTGAGATCGTGGTCTTTTAAACAGCACAAGGCAACTACCGTAGCGGTTTGGTTTCCCGTTTTCATGTACTTCACCAACTTCTGTATGTGCCAATATTCTGCCGGGATTTCTGATTTGGGTATTTCTCTTCTTTCCTCCTCGTCCGATGAGGTGCTAAAACATTAATCTGAAATCCTGAGTAGCCATTACATTATACCTAGCTATAGTCGAATCCTCGCTATCCGAGTGCTCTTCCACTAAGACTTCCCTCGGACCGGGGGGTCGTACTTCCGATTCGGAACTATTATCAGACATCGCAAATTAATGAAAACCGTAGATACGTAGATGAAAAACTGTAATAAAATATTACGATTAACAAAAAAAAGTAAAAAAAACGGTAACAAAAATGGCCCTAGTACGTCATTAGACAGACAAATAAGTTGTCAAACCAACATAAATCAAGGATGTACGTATTACATTGTTTTTTTTTAAGTCTAATTAAAAATCCGTATCTTTTTCTTATAGACCGGGAGGCAGCGTACATAGTAACTAAACCATAAGCGACAAAAAATTCGATAATACAGGCTGAAAGTACGTTGAAAACTATACTTATAATACTTATAATAAAATCACTCGTCTGCCAGTCGTAAGTGGCAGCATTAACTTGGGGCGGCGCTGAATAGGTGACTTCTTTAGGTGATCAACTAAATTACCAAACTGTAAGGGTCACGGAAAAGATTTGTATCAAGAAATCCCATTTTTTCCATAGTTTTCAAATATGCTATGGCAGACGATTTCAAGTGCAGCGTTGGTAGCGAAAGACGCCCTCCATCCAATGTAGGGAAAAACACCCCTGAACCTGAACGAAACCATGCGGACCGTATAAAAATTATACATAAAAAATTCCTCTTTTTGTCACTACTTTAAAATATATCCTGGCAGACGATAGTAAGTCTAGCTTTAATAGTAGCAGACGTTTTAGAAGTTAAAAAATTTAGGTATAGTAAATCCCAGCGAGTGCGAGCGTGTGAGAGATAAGCGCGCGAGAGCACAACGAACAGAGATAGCTATAGATTTACGCACCGTTTGGAGTTACCAAACGAATTAAATTAGGGAAAATAATAAATTGTTTATTTCGCGATAAGATTGTCGGTATTTCTTGAATTCTTCTCAGACTGAGAAACAGAAAACTTGAAGAGAAAAGAAGATAGATCTTCAGCTCGTTCTAAACTATCCTCTGACTCCAGTTCCGTTGTCTCTATGCAACATTGATGGATCGATGATTAAAATCGACAAGTTTGTTTTGCTGAAACTTTTTCGGAAGTATGATTTCTTCTAGTGCTCCTAGTCCATCGCCAGTTGTAGATGTTGTTTTAATCGATGGATTATTTTTTTTTGCATCTTTTAAAAGATCTCCGGTAAACCTTTGAGCGATTTTCTGAACACATCCTCGGCAAGATTTGTGCTGTGTCAGCGAGAGAAGTACATCTTACTTTTGACAGATAGTTACCCCTTCCATGAAGGACGCAGAACATGATCGTTGGGATCAAAATAAGGAAAAATTACAATCCTACTCAATTTCTGTTTCCACTCAGAAGCAGGCTGCAAATTTCATACAACCGCTTCGCAATGATAGCTCAAAACCTCTCTTATAGATTACTTATACCGTTCATAGGCAAAAAAGACCTGTTGTGCTTTACTTGGAAGGAAAGTTGTGTTTGCCACATATGAAGATAAGTCGAGAGATAAGTGCTATAAATTTGTGACAAGGGAAGATGGTGTGGTAAAAACTGAATTGTGCTGCAGCCACTAAGAGGCAGATTCTCGAATAATTTACCATCTTGGTAAACTACCAACAAGTAGCAAAGTCATTATTAGCACTTCCGATATGGATATTGCTGTTATTGCTTTGGGAAATGTAAAATTGACGCTACCATCAAGGTATAGATGGAAGTAGGTCTTTTCCAATAACACGCAGAAATTCATAAATCTTCGAGAGATGTTCGTGAATTTGGGTGTTGATGTGTGTAACGCGCAGGGTAACGCGTTACCGGGTTCCCACGCATTTACCGGATGTATGACTTCTGTATAGTCCTCATGGTTTAGTTCATCGCAATTTGGGCGAATGCCACCGAAAAATGTCTGAGTTTCTACAATCCGTTTGATTGAAGTGGATGGAACTATGTGAATCAGAAGTTTAGAATCAAATGGTTTGAAAAATCTCAGTAGTCAGTATCCTATAGCTATCTCTGTTGGTTATGCTCTCGCGCGCTTATCTCTCACACGCTCGCACTCGCTGGGATTTACTATACCTAAATTTTTTAACTTCTAAGACGTCTGCCATTAAAGCTATACACTTAATATCGTCTGCCAGGATATATTTTAAAGTAGTGACAAAAAGAGGAATTTTTTATGTATAATTTTTATACGGTCCGCATGGTTTAGTTCAGGGGTGTTTTTCCGTACATTGGAGGGCGTCTTTCGCTACCAACGCTGCACTTGAAATCGTCTGCCATAGCATATTTGAAAACTATGGAAAAAATGGGATTTCTTGATACAAATCTTTTCCGTGACCCTTACAGTTTGGTAATTTAGTTGATCACCTAAAGAAGTCACCTATTCAGCGCCGCCCCAAGTTAATGCTGCCACTTACGACTGGCAGACGAGTGATTTTATTATTAGTTTTCAACGTACTTTCAGCCTGTATTGTCGAATTTTTTGTCGCTTATGGTTTAGTTACTATGTACGCTGCCTCCCGGTCTATTAACAGTGCTATAATCTTAGACGATATAGTACATACAGCTATAATACTCTATTGGATCTGTATTATAGTAATAGTGCGTGCTAGTGCTTTTTGCTGTTGTAGCGTTGGCAAGTGTTCTCTTGAATTCAATTCGTCTGTATATAGTATACCTATATGTGTATATTTTCCCGTGTAGGGGCGGAAAAGAAACACCCTACCGCATAGAGCGCGGCATGTCGTAGAAAGCCACTCAACACCGGCCAGCTGCAACTCCAGCTCTGAAGTTGTGGAGGAAGAAGGGCATTCATGGTTTGATCGGTTATGACTTCTTTTTCAATCTGTGCTTATTTTAAAGACTACTTAGGTTAGGCTGACACACTGTAATACCAGTGGCCGAACCGAAGAGCTACTCCTCCGGTTTGAAACCATGAAGATCCTGACACCGGAGGCGATGTAGTACTGATTTAAAGACTCCGATGATGCAGGATAGTTGATTGAATTTTTAATTTAGGAGTTGCAGTTTCAGGTTCCCTTTGTTGTTACTTCAGACCGCAGTGCTTCACGGTAATCAGATGTAACATTAGAGTAGTTTCTGTCCCCATATAAGGTCCAGCAGTTCTTTCCTGGACATCTAGAGAGGTGGCGTCCCCTAAGTAGATCTTTTTGTTTACAGTGGCAGGACGGTTTTCTTCGAAATTTTGTTGCGTAACTTTTGTGGGCGAATGGTTTCGAGTGCGGTCCTGGCATGTTAAAACTTAGAAGCGCCAGTTTACTGCGGAGTCCGTTAGAAATTACCGTTAAGCAAGTAGATGTTTCTGGCAAATTGCTTTTTTAGAAATGCGGTTGGTTAAAAGAAAGGGATTCTATTGGTAGAACAAGATTAGCACCCATTTTGGGGCGTAGGGGAGACCGGGGCAGGTTGTAACAAAAAATTTACTTTTTACTCTAATCTAAACAATTTTACTTGGAAAATTATAATATATTTTTTTATATCTTTTCTTACATCTAACCTACAAAATAACACAGTAACGATACTAAAAAACGTAAAAGTATAAGCTAGGATTTTTTTTGAAATGCTTGTTGTATTTGTTACAACCTGCCCCGTATCAGGGGCAAGTTGTAACAACACTCAGGGTAAGTTGTAACATATAGTAAAATTAACTAAACATTCGGTTTCTTAGCAAAAACTAAACACATGTAACTATATTATTGAAAATCACGAAACTAGAGATATAACTGTTTATATATTTTATGTATTAGTCTTCATCGGAATCGCAGTTATGACAAATATAAGGAAATCCCCCATCAGTGCAGGCTTCGTGTGACCAAAATTCACAATGGAAACACTTAATCCATTTTTCTTTAGGCTTACTTCTGCTAAATGGCTCAGTGCAAACCAAGCAAAAGCATTCTTCATCAGAACTATCATCAGATTCTACCATAACTTTTCTTTTTGCCTTTTCAACCTTTTTCTTTTGTATCTCTTTGGTTTTCTTCGACTTCCGGCTGTTTTGTTCTGCCTCCAATTCGTCTATCTCTGGAGTATCGGTTAAGACAGCAGACTTTCTTTTCTTCCGACCCCTTGTAGATGGTTTCCTTTGTTCAGCTTTCGGAAACGGGCGCACAAATTCTGGAGAAAATTCTTTTGGCTCTTGAATTGTATGTTCTTGTTTATTTTTAGGGCTCAACGAGTCATTTTCTGGGATCACTTGTTCACAATGAGCAGAAGAAGTAGATGGCTGGGACATGTCTTGACTATTAGCATTTGAGGAACCAGATAATTGAAGCACAGGAGAGGTAGCTGACGATTCAGCGTTCGGCAATGGTTGATCCGTTACGCCAGCAGGCAAAAACTCGTCATCAGTAAAAATGTCTCTGTTGTACGGTTCAATACCTGACACTTTAAACCCTTTCATTATGTTTATAGGAGTCAATGCTTGTGGAAGAGCATCTCGAACTAAAGATGGTATGTCGCATATGGTCATTGATTTACCTGGGTTATTCCTGAGCCAGGCAGCTTGAGAATTTGACAAATATTTCTTAAAGGGACCATACACACTCCTATCTAATGGCTGAAGCCGGTGTGAGCAATGCGGTGGGAACGACAGCATTATCACGTTATTTTCCTTAGCAAAATTAATAGTTTTTATTGCTAAGTGGGACTCGTGATTATCGAGTAGCAGAAGTACCGGATTTTCTCGAGATGGACGCACGTGAAACACAAAATGTTCCATAAATTTAAAAAATTCGTCAGATGTCATCCACCCTGACCCATTTGCAGCACCAATGCTTCCAGGAGGCCCATCTCGTATAAAATAGTCATGGTACTTTTTTCTGGGAAATATAAATTGCGGAGGAATAGAGTTTCCTGAGGAACTAACAGCAACCAACACAGTGACGAGTACACCTCTCTCGCTTGATGTGATACCACCAACTTGCTTAGTTCCCTTTTCCGCCAGAACCTTGCTAACTTTTTGGATCGTCGTCACTCCAGTCTCGTCCAAATTCCAGATAGTTGCTGAATTAAAGTTATATTTGTCTCTTACGCTTGCCAGTTTGTCAAAAAATGATGACACGTTCTGTTTATTAAAACTTATGGCTCTTTGTAAGCTAGTCGCCTCGGGTGTCCGAATTGAGAGATCTTCGTGCTTCTTTAAAAATTGTGTAAGCCAGTCCTCTCCGGCGCATTTGTTTTTATTCCAGGAATCAGGAACTGTGACATTATATGTAAGAGCGCACTCATATGCAAACTTTCGCACTTCTTTTGGACTAAGGCCAAAATAAATTTTCGATGCATGTTTAATGTAATCCACAAGTTTTTGTGCTTGATTTTCATCAAAAACAGGTTTTCTAGAGTAACCAACATTTGATAGACTAACGGGGCCTTCGTTATGACCAGAATTCTGAACTTTTCTTACATATCTGTGAAGCGTTACATGACATATGTTTAAACTTTTAGCTACAGATCTTTGCGATTCATTGTTATTTAAAACACGATTCACGGCTTGTTCCATGTCCTCTTTCGAGGTATTGCCTCTTTCCGTTTTTTTCTTATAGGTCCTCATTGTAAAATTACCTATACAAAACAAAATATAGGTAGGTAATTATTAATTCTTAAACCCGGGGTAAGTTGTAACGTGTTACATTTTGCCCCGGCGAGTTTGTTACAACTTACCCCGATGTTGATTTTTCTCTTTATCAAGTCACAACAAAAAAGTGTATGGATATTTCAAAAAAAGAACTAGTCAAGCATGTAGTCTAGAGAATTCTGATTCATATAAGACATAAAACTCAGATCTGTACAAATGCATCTACCAGGAAATCAAAAAAAACCAAAAACATGCAACATTTACTTACGCGCCAAAAAAGGTTATCCGTCGTATTTCTGGAACACGGCAGTACGCACACTTCCACAACTTACATCAGACTAACCGTTTTGAAGGCTCTTTCAATAAATGTATATTGCGATGTTGCCAGATTTTTTCAGTTTAACAGAATTTGCAGTGTTACAACGTGCCCCGTGTTACAACCTGCCCCGGTCTCTACCTATTATTTGAAGTTGAAGTTTCATTAAGCCGCGATCAAGAGAGTTGATTAAAGATGGACCAGCGACAGAAGTAGGGATAGCAAGGTAGTAGCACATGCACAGATAGACGTAAAGAACAGATTGCTTAACCATTATCCACTTATTTTAAAGCACCGATCTCCTTAAAAGAGCCCTCTATTTAGGAATGTTATTACCACAAACAGTTTAGTATTTGGTTCTTGAAGAAGGTTGAAACATTTTCTATGCATTTATCGTTAGGTGTTACCAGTGGCGTATTTAGACAAATTTCGAGGTGGGGGCTTTGGAGCGAAAAAACATATCCCATTACAGCGTATGTTATGTAATTACTACTATGTATGTACAGTGTATACACTTTTACAAGACAATATCTTTTTTTCTATTTTTCGGTTTCGGTCAATGCGAAGAACGATGTTTTTACTTTACTATGATAACTGTAGAAGTTTTGTGTTTGTGTCTAAACGAAATGAATGGAAGAAAAGAAACAAATCGGCACTCGTTTATGGTGCTTCAAAAGACGGCCAAAACCAAAGTTTGATGCGGCGCAAAAAAAATGCATCCATAAGATGCGAAAAAATGTACCGATAAGATATCTCCATGTTCACTTAGTAGCCCCTCAAGACCACCTCGTAAATACGCCACTGGGTGTTTTATCTTTTTCTGGGGAAGGAATGCATTATCGAAGTCGACTTGGTTGCGCTTATCTTATCTACGCCAATATTCGTTACGACGGATATGATATTTAACTATTTATAAATTCTTATTTACTACAACTCACTTTTGCTATATAGCATTTCGAGTGTTTCAATAAGGTGCAATTTTGTTATTATTAAACTTACGAAAAAGCGATTAGACTCATAATAGTAGAGATGGGTAATAGACGGAAAGCTGGCTACGGAAAAAGTGACTTATTCCTACATGGCTGATTTTTTGTGTCAAGTATGCTCATACATAGTGAAGTAGAAAAAGTCATGCCTGTTACCGAAATCCCGTGCCTTAAGGTTGGGAGGGGTGGTCAAATAAGTAAAATGTTAGTAAAAGTGCCGATTTTCCGACTATATTTACCTCTGGGGCCTTTATTTTGAATCGGACGCAAAAAATGAATGCAACTTTTTTGTACAGCTTATCAAGGTACCTACATTTTTTTTTGTATTTAACATTTTTCGCTATGATGCTTACTTTTCGAGAAAAGTGCAACTTAAGAAAAATTATAAAATAAATAGTTTAACTTTTCAATTTAGAATTTCTCAAAAACTAAGAAACTCACAAAAAAACTGTAATGGACTTTTTTGTGGAGTTTTGTATGCCACATTTGTCAGTGTGTGCAAAAATGATTACAAAAGAGTTTTTGTTATGGCCCTCTTAAACTGAATGCGTGTGGTTCGTTTCTTGTGAACACGATAACTGAAAAACGCCTGGACCGATTTTTACGAAATTTGGAATGTTTATAGGATTGTTTAGGGAATGGCACACGACCTATTTTGGTTTCGGTCCGTTACCACCTTCAGGGTTTTTGAGAGTATTAACAGTTTAAAAGGGCCATAACGGCTTAAAGAAAATGTTTGTAATTTTTTCGCATACACTGGCTAATGTGGCACAAAAAAACTCTACAAGAAAGTACATAACAATTTTTTTGCGAATTTCTAAGATTTTGAGAAATTTGAAATTGAACAGTTAAACTCTTCATTTTATAATTTTTCTAAATTTGCACTTTTCTCAGAAAGTAAGCTTCATAGCGAAAAACGCTACGTATAAAAAAGAAGTGCCTTGATGAGCTGTACAATAAAGTCTCATCCATTTTTTGCGTCAGATTCAAAATAAATGCGACAGAGGTAAATATCGGCAGTTTTATTAAAATTTGACATATTTGGACGCCTCTCCCAACATTAAGCCACGGGATCTCACTGGCAGACATGACTTCTTCTACTTCACTATGTATCAGGATACTTAGGTACTTACTACACAAAAAATCAGCCATGTAGCGATAAGTCACTTTTTTCCGTAGCCAGCTCTTAAGACAATAAAGGCTTATTTTCCGATTTATGTTATTTATTTACCCAAAACATTGTTTAAATACATTAAACAATACCATTGACTAATCCCCCCCCCCCCCCCCCAATATTATAGTCAATGACAATACTCAAAACGAGCTTATAAAGTTTGTGTTTTTTAGAGAACGTTTGAACGAAATGATATAGAAATCAAAGACAATAAACGAAACAAGTTAAAAAGTAATCGTTAACGATTTACATAAAGCGCATTTCCACTTGCATTCATTTCCCATTTGTAAGATGCAACTTCTGTTAAAATCGTAAAAATCCGGCCACAAATATAAAAGATAGCGTTGCACATGGGCAATCCATTGTTGACGTGCTACTTCAATTTCAGTTTATGAGAAGAATTTCATTTCAATGCTTTTCTAAATAAGAAAGTTGGAACTGCGCATGCGCAAACCTAAATTTTAAAACTAATGTTAGATTTTCCTTTGTTCCAAGCGCCTAAGTATCAAATTTCACTTAAATAGTTCCATAGATAAAAAGTTGGCACGGCGCATGCGCAAAATAAAATTTTGAAACTGGCGCTAGATTTTCCTTTATTCCAAGTGCCTATGTATCACATTTCATTTAAATTCTTCCATAAATAAAAAAGTTGGCCCTGCGCATGCGCAAAGCAAAATTTTGAAACTGGCGTTTGATTTTCCTTTATCCCAAGTGCCTATGTATCAAATTTCGTTTAAATTCTTCCATAAATAAAAAAGTTGGCACTGCGCATGCGCAAAACCAAATTTTGAAATTGGCGTTTGATTTTCCTTTATTCCAAGTGCCTATGTATCAAATTTCATTCAAATACTTTTATAAGTAAAAAAGTTTGCAATTCGGTTTACAAATGGTCGAGATGCGAAAAGGGCACTGTGAATTTTGAATCGATTCGATTCAACTTTTGGCATTGCGTATTATATGGCTAAATCTATGCCCATATTGAATTTCATGCAATTCAGTTCATAACTAACGGAGATGTAAAAGCAATCGAACATTTCTAAACAAAGTTATCGTTCACACGGACAGATAGATGGACAGACAGACAAAGGAACAGACGGAGAGACCAACCGGCAGGCGACAGATAGCAATGCAAAATTATAAACGATCTCTAGGATCGTTAATAAACGGCAAAAGTGTAAAATTATGGAACATGTAAAAAACGGTTTTTTGTTTTTTTTACAATAACTTTTTTTGTAAGCGGTACAGAAAAAATTCCTTCCTTAGTACAAGACTCGACACCATAACGAACCAAATAGCGAAAAAAGTAGAACAATAGCTCTTAAGAGAAAAAACTAGTAGCGTCGCAAAGTTAGCGGACGGACGGACGGACGGACAAAGTGGCCACAATAGCGCGTTTTTTTTTTATTTTTGTGGAAATGCGCTAAAAATGAGCATTTAACCCGATAAAGTGTACATTCAAGAACCTGTACAATTTTTTTGATAATTTTGCGTTCATTGGCTAATGGCATCTTATTTTGAAAAACCTTGGATTTGACAACATCGGTACTGCATAGTGGGGCAAGACACGCTGTATAGAAACCTTGCAGGTTATAAAGTATCATATTACGATGTGAAGATATGACATCATTAAAATAAAAGAAGTTATTGTATTTCAAAACGTTATTCATTTAGTGTGAGTATAATATCTCGAGCAACTATAAAAACCATGTTGGTTGAATGTGCGAGGGTTTTTACAAAAGTTTTAAATTTTAATAAAACACATTAGATATTTGTGAATGGTTTTTTGATAACAAAGTCCTACAGGAGCTAAGTTTTGATTATTCAAAAATATACTATATGTTCGTTGAAACTGTAAAAATTAGCAATAAGTTATTCAGTCCCACAGATGTAACACCCCGAAAAGTAGTTTTATTTAGGACCTGATTAATCTCGGATTGTCTGAACCGTTTCAATAATAAAACAAACCTATTAATTCCTGGAGGGATTTCTACAAGCTCTGGTGTGTTTCGAGGATCCACAATTTCTGGCAAGAGGCAATTAAATAAACCCCTAACCTAAAGCAGATCTAAAAAATCGGCAGAACACCTCGGGTGACCCTACGGCGTCATTGAATTTGACCCATTTCTTATAGGCTTTTTACAACCTTATAGCCTTTCTTCCCCAAATTTGACCGTTTTTCGAATGATTTTCCAGAGAATCTAAATCACGTCGGCAAATTGAGGCACAGAGTAAGACCTCTTCCACTTTCATACGATTTTTTTAGGTAGGTATACCGATTGACTGTCCAAACATCTATTTTGTTAGCGTTACCTGTTAGAATGAATAACCGCCTTTATGGCTCAGTCAGACGTCATGTCCACTGCGAATCTTTACTATATTATAGGCTGTGTTCTAGATCAACCATCAAAAGTCGATTTTGCTGCCTTATCAATGATGGTTTTGTTGGGAAAACCAACAAATGTGTTACCTTGATAACCCAATTGTATACATTCCAATATCTAACTAATGTGGTTGTGGAATAATTTATGTTCTTAAAATTGTATATTACCCTTGGGTCAAATATGGAAATAAATTAAAAACAAATAGCAATTATTGCACCGAAATTATAGAGCACAAACCCAGATGCAATACAGTCACAAGGAAATAATCATTACAGCTCAGCAATTTGAGTTTTTATTTCACTTGCGCATTATAACCATAAAAAGTTTTGTAAGTTTTATTGTATACGGGTAAGAGTGAAAGTTCCATTTTGTGACACTCGTTGGTAATAGTACCTACTTCATGTAACATTCCGTAAATTTGTTTTTAATTGTAGTACCTTTACCTTGTGATTGTTACTTTTACTTCAAAGGTCCAAAGTGATTAACTGGTTGTTTATTTTACAGTTCCGAAGGATTGTATCGGATGTCACAAAGCCTCATCACGATGACTATTTTCTTGTACGATGGCTACGTGGTGAGTATTTGCACATTAATTTGAGTAATGGCATTATACATTCTTATTAGAATTAGAGTTATACTGGAGTTAAACATGGTGGTTCATCTAAAATCTAAAATTATAAATAAAGTAAAATCATAAACAAAATCACAAAGTTTTTTGTGATACTTAGGTACTGAAAAAACAAAAATTATTTCAAGCCACCTCATTTGGGGTTGCAACTTTTCACGGCTTTAAATCCCAAATTCCCAATCAATGACCATTTCCTTTATTTTAGCGTTCAATTAATAATTGTAGGTACTTACTTACAAAAATAATTTGATTTACTATAGCTTCCAGAGAGCACAGTTTTGACCTTTATTGCTAAGTGCAAAGTTATGGCGCGCAGCATAATTCTTTAACTAACAAAAAAACGATTAATTAGGTGTAATTCATTTATGTAGGTATTATAAAATAGCTATCTTTATTCGTTGATTATAATCATGCTTAGTGATTAATAGCAATAAATGACGTTCTAAATTGCAGTAACAATTATATAATATATTGTTTTCTATTATTGTAGCAAGGAGTTGGAATGTCGAAGCTGCGGAGAAAATGCTCAGAGAGGTAAGTAAGTTACCTCATTCCTTTCTAAAGCATCCGCCATCCAGATTAAAAATGTCATTTTTTTTCAAAAAAAGCCATGCCGCTATCGGAAGATTGAAAAACTAATAAATAGGTGTTTGAGGAACGGACGAACGAATATACACCATGTCCATAGTAACAAAACAAATTGAGAATGCCAATCATTTATGATAAACAGACATTCCATTTAGGGAATATTTTTGTTACTTCATTTTGACTAAGTAATAAAAAAACGGATTACAAAACGCTAGAATTCTCCCTTTTTCTATTAAAATGGACCCATATAAGGCAGTTTCGAAGGACTCGATAGTTAACTCTTTAAAAACAGAATTAAAAACATTAAGGTCTTACAGATCGACAGTCCACTTATATGGATTTTTAGGTTTTCCCCTGTAACTTTGGTAACCTTTTGGTCCCAAAGTCAATATGGTGCTTACTTGAACGAAGAGGAACCTATACTATATCAATACGTTTTAAGACCTTAAGACCAATTGTTCGGAAGTTACAGTACCACAGACGGACGCACGGACAACTACACAAACTTGCAATAGCATTTATAACACTTAAATTTAAATATGAGTGAGGATTTAATTCACAAATTTATCACTTCGCCGTTGATGATAAAACTAAATCTAAACAATTAAATTTGCTTACACCTATAACAAACAAAAAGCTTATCAAAACTACGGAACACTCTCGAACGTCGGCATATCATATTTCATTAAAAAAATCGCCGATAACTAATCCTTTATATAGTGCTTCCATGGCGTTCTAGAAGGTTCGCAACAATAAAACTTGGTGTGTCGTAGCTCATTCCCACTTTGCGATAGTTCTGTGGATAGTAATCTAATTATATCGTAGTCACTGTGTCTGTGCACCAGCAATATAGGGAAATGAAACGAGATTCAAGAAAACTTTTATGGCTTAAATTGCTTAAATTGTAGGCAATTTAATATCTCATACAAAAGTCCGGGCAGCATATACTTATCTCTAAATCATTCTCAAGTCACATAAAAGGATTTTCTCCAATTCGATGATTCGTAATTAAAATTGCAATAAGAAACTGAATTAATTACAATTACTACATAGACCGAGTCACTTTCAACAGCTAACGCTTATCTCGCCTTTAGTCCTTGCAGTGGAGGAAATTTTGGGACGTCGATGAAGGTCTAAAAACATGGGATCCACCGGAAGCGCTCGCACACTACTATCCAAGCGGAAGCACCGGAAATGACAAGGACGGTTCGCCCGGTTAGACCTGCCGATTACTTTTTCACCGCGCTGTACTTAATTTGTTGTATCATGTTTTAGTGATCTTTGTGCCGTTTGCCGGTTTGGATATAATTGGAATTCTACATTCGGCCTCGAAACAGGATGTAGTAAGGATGACGATCAAAGTGTTGGAGTATTATTTAGACATTGCGAAAACTAGCGGGGCCAATAATGTGGTCGTTGTTTTTGATATGGATGCATTTAATTTAAAGCATTACGCTTGGAGACCAGGTAACTGTGCCAACAGAAATGATTTACACTTCACACCGTTTTTCAGCTGCCGAAGTTGTTATTTCTCTATTGCAAATGTACGAAGCTAATTATCCAGAGATTCTCAAGTCATGTTACATTATAAATGGTAAGTACCTTCTGCAAATTCTTGTTCTTCGTATGTAGAGGTATCTGGCATTGCCCGCAAACTCTATCTGGGGTGTAACGTGTACTAAACTGCGTGACAGAACAGATATTTTTTTAAATAAGCTGATTACCTAAACTATTTCGTCTAAACTCTAGAGAGATGGAATCTAACACTATTAATTATTATTCGTGGGTATATTTGGGAATGTTCATTTGATTTGGTAACATGTCTCTTTTACATTTCTATTATCTATTCACCCAACAGATGCAGTTAAGCTCCTCCCAAAAAATTCCCGGTAAATTTAAATGAACATTTTTAATTGGCCGAATTTTCAAAACCTGTAGTAACACACGCAACTATTTGCTTCCAATTATAATTGCCGTATCTAAATCGTCAAACCTGTCATTGCGTCCTCTTGTAGAAAATAAATTTTGTTCTCTACGACACTGGTAAACATTTTACTATAACATAGAAATTAATGAAAAAAACTCTTTGGTTTGGGTTAACTTATCGTTCATAAAAAATACACAAACTGTTGATTCTCCGATTGACAGTTGATTTTATTTTTTTGGAAAGGTAGCAACGTGTTGGAAAATTGGATGGTGGAACGCCTTTTTTACAATTCAAACGGACTTTTGTATCGCCAGGTAAAAGTTTGGTTACTCGTTGAAAGTGAATCTGCAAAGATGGTTGACGAATTTGAATCCAGACTAAACCCAGGTTCTTGACAATTTATTAGTTCAAATTTGGTTTATTTATTCGAATGGTTACCAATGTTCTGCAGTATGGAATGTTCAAAATTTCTCTTAGTGTTTGACAGCCAACAAAAGCACGAAGTAATTGTCTTGAACCCTTTTACCGGCTGCCGTTTTATTTGTAATGTTAACAACACCTTGTATAAACAAATTGCCACTAGAAATCTGCCCCAACGGAATGTTTTGCACCTTGGACCCTAGCGCTTTCGTAGTAACAATTCATTTAACCGCAAGCTCAATATACCTACCGCTTTTGGCATTTCCACATAGTTAAAAGAATTAGAAGCATCATACCAGGATGCATCTACTGGCTCATTAAAATGCAATTTCTGCTTTGGCAACTAAGGAAGAAGTGGTAACTCATGTAATTGTTTAGGTATTTGAAGAGTGCAGCGTATTTTTGGATTATCTATACTTTAAAACGTGTCCTCGGACATATGCGTCACGCTTCCATGTCACTGGGGACCGCAACAAAGACCAATCAAAAGAAGAACAAATTAGCCGCCATTTTAAATAGCTCACTTTCGGTCGAAATAGGGGAGAAAAGACTTGTTGCCAAAAAGTAATATGAAATACTCCTAAAATTTCGATTTTTCGAAATATTAACTAGACTATAATCCGAACCCGAACAGACGAGCGATACTGATTTCCGGAACTAATTATGAGGGCGCTGCGTATGTAATGCTCACTGGCGAATAACAAAAAACGTGTGCTAATTCCACAAACTACTTATGAACTTCCACCCAATATAGTTTATTGTACATTTTTTTACCCTATAAGTAATGCCTATAAACTGTTCGAACCGAATTGGTGTAAGTAACACAATTTGCATTTCTTTTTGTTCATTTTGGAAACTTCATAGTCATTGTAATTGTTCTTAAGTTGGATTAGTACTATATTTATGCTTAGTAGAATTTACAGAGAGTTTTTGACAAAGGTTCTTGAAGTGTGTCCCCGAATTGAATAAATTCAACGTAAAAAATCTGAGGGTAAAATCGACTATATCACACATCGACCGTGTGGACAAACCCAGTGGCGTAACTAGGTAAGTGCCGAAGGTGTGAGGAGCTCTAGGACACCACTTCCGGGTAAGCAGTACGGGGTATAGACCAGTAACTAAAGAAAAAACGGCAGTTAAATGCGAATAGTTTGCTAAAGTCGACTACAGAGTGCAAAACAAATTTGGGAGCCATTAGGACGAATCTCATAAACGGACGATATATATTTGACGCACTTTCGATGCTATACATTTTCGTAATTTGTATAAACAAAAAAAATGCTTGAGCTCGATCTATTATAGTTTCAGAAAATAATAAATGAACGAAATGGATATTTAACTGATAAAGAAAGCGTTCAGTAGGTAGTCAAGCATACCCGTTGACAAAGGTGCAACTTAACCGAGCAACTTTGTTAGTAAAAAAGGCGGGGAATGTGAAATGTAGTCTTAGGAATGAGGTAATATCTTTTCATTTATATTGAATAATTGAATTGAATACGTAATTTAATATCGCTTGTGTTTATGTCACAAAACTTATTGGCCTAATTAATGGGAGCGCAAAAGCCGCCGTTGGGAGCGTGGTTCGAAGACCAACTTAATTACATTTAACGTTGTCGAAATGATTAATTAAAATTTAGCCTTTATAAAATGCCATTTGACTATTGTGGAACGTTCGTATGCTTTCTAATTACCGAGGGAGATTGTTTCTTCCATGACGCATTTATTGTTAAATGTTTGTGTGGATTGCAAACGAAAAAGAGTTTATTTCCAAAAATATTGATTAAGGAGTAAACCTAATTAACAGTTACAATGAGATAGGAGGTCAGAGTCTGGGAGGAGGTAAGTGGTATGGTATAATAAACAAACGTAATTATCGCTGTACAGTACAGTAATTACCTACAGTGCTGATTTAAGCAAAGCTTAATGGTAACTGATGTGGCGCCAAAACCGGGAAAATCTCCGTGGTATAGAAAATTAAAGATCTCAAAAAACAAAAAATGCTAAATTTTTCAAGACCATTTAAAGGCTCGACAGTCATAATTCTCAAAATTACTTCAACATTCTCAAAAATCCCAACACTCATCCTACCCAGAAACGTCACGACTCCCAAAATCTTCAACACTCGCAAGAGACACAAAAGTCTTATCAATCTAAAAGAACAGGTAAATTGAGTTAAAATTGAATTATTAGAAACCTGTGATTAGTGAACTGTGTACCTAATTATCATTTTCCATTCTTGATTAATTTTGAAATTGCATTTTACTTTTTCTTCCAAATAAAGGGAAGTAGGTAGTAGAAAACCAAGATAGCGGTTAGTGTACAATGGAGCCTGTCGCTTTAATATTTAATAATAATTGTGTGAAAGCAGTTTCGTTTCATTGCATTAGAGCGCCTAGTTACAATAAAAATGCAGCCTGGGTCATTAGTCGGAAGTAGGTACGCTTATTCAGTGTTTAATCACTAAGATGAGGTCTTCATTGTTGCGTGTTAGGTCGGCGGCTTAGTTATCGTATTTATTGTATTGTATTGTATTGTGTCTTTATAAACTTTACCAAGTCTGTATCCACCACTTTCATTAATTAGTTAATGTTATACTTGGTAATTTTTTTCACTTAGTATACTGCGTCACTGAAGATGAGTATTGTTCATCATATTGACAGCGGTCTGTAACAGAATTAACATGCAACTACCCTACCTGTCAGGAATAGCAAGCTAATATGATTTATCACTCCTCCTCATTCTGGCACTAAGTATATAGTACCTACATTACTTTAATTTCAGCGCCCGCAGTATTTGCAGTAGCATTCTCAGTCGTAAAACGTTTCCTAAACGATTACACACTATCGAAAATTTCAATATACAAATCCGACCCAAAGAAATGGCAGAAAGTGTTGAGAGAGCAAATAAATCCCGAGATATTGCCAAAATATTACGGCGGCGATTTACTTGATCCGGATGGAGATGAGAAATGTTCATCACAGGTACAAACGCAATTTGTGTGTATTATTTACAATTATTTTGTGCAGATACGGCAAGGCGGCAAGGTACCCGAATCCTATTATACGAATAATTTTGATCCAAGCGACGATTCAACGGATTTTATTTCTACAGTTGTTAAAAAAGGTCGAAAGTTTACCTTAGACTTTATTGTGGTGGATCCTGGCTGTGCTCTGAAGTATTACTATAACTGGATATTGAATCTTTACTTACTCACTCACATTTCAGGTGGGATTTCAGAACCGAAGCGCATGATATCAGATTTGGGATTACATACTGTGATAATGATGGAAATGAAAGTCCCGCCGTACGATTTCAAAGGGTAGCTTCTCATCAAGTGAACGAAGTTGGTGTGATTGCGTGCCAGGCACCGGCGACCTGTATGCATAATTGATTTTTTAACATTGAATATTTATGTTTTATGTTACAGATCGAGTAGTGTTTGATAACACATACAGCTTAATGCGCAACAAGAAACTGTTTTACAACATTACGGTTACGGATCCACTCGCTAACTTAAACATCACCACCTTACCTGAAGAAAATGTTCCAGACAAAATTTGCAACGGTAATAACAATGTAGATAAAACGTCAATAGTCAATTAATGTTATTAATTATACCTTTATGTAGTTTTGATATGTGGGAAATGGTGGGAGTATGTTAATGATAGGCCAGATGCAATATTAAATGTACTTTTAAAAGTTTTTTATATGATGATAAGTAGTAAAGTTGTCTGTTTTTTTGTTTGTGTTTTCCATTCAATCTATAGTCGAAATCGTCGCAAAATGTGCAGGACGCAATTGAAGAATTGAACAGAAAGTTTGATGTGTGCACGAAGGATGAAAAGCAAGCGCGCATTGCAGACCGCAGGGCGCCCACCCAAACCGTGCAATCAGTGGTACCTATTGCGGAAAAACAAATTATTCATAAACAGTTGAAGATAGCCATATGCCGTCGCGGAGTTTTTTTTAGTCCTCTACATTTGATTAGCGAAGTTATTTTTATGATATTATAATAATTAATAAGTGTCAGTTTCATATTGTACCAAAGTGTGCTGGGAATAAGAAAAGCAGCATTCGCTCTATAACAGCGGGTACATATTGTGATTTATATGCTCTGAACTGAAGTTGGGTAATTTTATAAGCAGCGTGGTCCTATAGTTAAGGGCTAAGTGCATTATAAAAGTGAGTGAAAGATGCGAGGTTTAGTGACATTTTCGGCGATAAATAGAAAAGCTGTAATAAATTTAATTCAAAAGACGCAATTCAGCTTCATTATATCGAAATTATAAAATTTTTCATTTCGTAAATGGACATTTGAATCCAGCGCTTTGTTTTCACACGCCAGCGATATATTATTAACCAGCTTGCATCTTTTTTACGGGACAGATTTAATTTATCTTTTTAGAGGAATTTGACCAGGAAGATATCCAGCAAAATTGAGGAAAGCAGTATAGAAGGCGCAGTTTTCAAAAGTACTCTGTGAAGTCTACCAGAAGAGGTGAGAGGAGTGCATTAAATCGACTTAGAACTGCGAAGTGGCCATACAGCAAACCAGTGGAAATTCGAACCGAAGCGAGAACAGGTCCATCCGGCTAAGGTCAGCTACTGCAACAACTACATAAATGTGTAAGGTACAGAAAAGGTACTACATTCTTTCTTATTCTTAAACTATTTTTTCTTGAGCTAGCTGGACGTAAAAACTAAAAAGGTAAATGTAAATGTAAATTCCAAAAGTACTTCAGCAACGAACCTTAGAAAATCTTCAACCCTTATGAATAAGCGGCCACTTTACGGAGATTATTTTGATTTCGCAGATGGTTTTCTTTCAATTTGTGTTTCGAAATTCGATTTTTGTTATTGTTGCTGATATTTTTGAACTAAGGCCATACAAGTGGTAAGGGTAGTTTTATTTCTTGTTGAGTGCGTGTCTGTTGTCGAGTTCGCGAGGAGGCCCTCTCTGGTTACTACTTATACCCCCACCTACCCTGCGTATACCCTTACCCTTACCATAATTTACCAATACACCATCTGCATATAATCCTTCCAGTGGAAGATTTTCAAATTTCAAAAGTAACAGCGCTATCAGGTCCACTTAGAATTAAAATCCTTTAATTATACCTAATCTAATAATTAAATATCTAACAGTACATTATAGTTGGATAATTTTACATTATCAGGATGAAATAGTACATAAGTAAACATGTGAATGGTCACAACAACAAAAATCTTAAAACATAGCAAATATGGGATCCAATTGCTCATTGATTGAACGACAAACATCATTAATGCAAACTAATCCTTCATCACATTCGTGTAACTTGGGAAATCCACGCAAAGAATCCAAAAGCGAACTACATCTTTGATTTTCCTCTGCAACAAAATAGCTATTACGTAATCGACAAAAAAATGGTAATAGACTTACTCAAGATTGTTACACATTTCTTACAACAATTGCAAAAACTTGCTGGTTTCAGTACTTGATTGGGTCCGCACACTTCGTCATTTATGCAGTTCACGGAGTCGCAAAAGTTCGGCGTGCAGACAATGGAAGTCGCTTCATCACAACAATGAAACAATATTGCCACAAGGATGTATATCTGCACCTTCTTGGTGTCCATCTTTATCTAGAAATAAAAACTGACGTAGTCTACGAAAGAAAAACTGTCATATAGTTACATAAGATTTGTTACTACTTTGATCACTATTTACATTTTGACCCTTTCAGTTACAAATTAACATTGATCGCCAAAGAATTTCTTAGTGCACACCTTTCGAGCCTTTCGAAGTCATCTTATGTACCTATACTATACCTTCTCTATAATAATTTTCCTTGTGACCTCCGAGTACAATTTTAACAATCAGCTTATATGTTTGAATTTGTTGTTTTTTTTGTTGCCCAAATTACAAAACAATTTTGTGGTTTTTAAAACTAGAAGTATGATCATTTGCAACAATTTGGATAAATATGCCCATCTGTCAGATCAACGTTGAAATATTTGCCTACATAATTGCACTTAAAAAACCTAAATTTGCCACAGACACAAAGACGCATTCTCGCAAAAAGAATCAAAAACTACAGCAGCGCCATCTAAACTTAACGCTGATTGATTGTTAATAGCACTTTTTATTTATGATCTGAAACGCGATATTACTGGCGTTTGTTCATAATACCTCACGATTGATAATCTTAGATAAGGGCCGCAGTAATCAAGTGTAATGTAACAAATCAAAAAAGTATTACCTAATGAAATTATCATTGACATAGAGTGGGTAACGTATGCTTTCCACTTTTTTTAACTTACTGAAATAACAAATACATTTTAACTCGCGTTTTAATTATCACGTCCGGTATCAGACGGAAGTTGAATAAAACATATACCTACCTAACGCAATTCTCATTCGCAGAGGGTCTGGGTTTTCTTGTTCTTTGCCAATCCGAATTGTGTTATCCATCTACTGTATTTTGTTTTTAAAGATATCAACATGAATACATAAATAGAGTAATAGACAAAGTGTTGCAGCTTTGTGCGCTGATCAAAATACAGTTTAGAAAAATTTGAAAAATGGTATCCGATAAGAAATTATTTAAAAAAAACGAAAACCACAATTTTTTGCTATGGCTGTATTGCGCAATATTACATCCAACCTCTATTGATTACAGATTTGGTGAGCGCACATCACTGTAAATAAGCTATTTATTTTGAGGATTATGCATATTTGATTTTTGGTAAGGCTTTTTGACGCACCCTGTATATTTTCTCTTTAGTGCAAAAATTCGCAAAAAATTATGATAGATGTATGCGCGCATTTTTTTAAAACCCAACACCTGATTTTTAAATTAAATTGTTCTATATTTTAGCCCCTCACTGTATACCTAGTAATAGACCCAACATAACCATTTGATTAAATAAAAGGAGCATTTAATTCGGGAATAGGGCACTTAATTAGCACCGAATTAGCACCTAATTATAGTTAGTTCACTTTTCATTTTCTTGGTTTTTTGAAGTAGTGCTCTGCTGAGTTCATATGAACCTGGCAGAACATGTACTTAATAATTTAAAAAAAGGAGCATTTCATTCGGGAATAGGCACTTAATTGGCACCTAATTATGCAAGATGTTTGATTGTGTTCTGCTGACCTTGCTTTGCTAAGTTAATGGACATCAAATTTGCTTGAAATCGAAATATTTACCTCAAGTTGTCCGGCATTATTCATGTTGGCTACAAATTACCATTAATTACGACGCAAAATTTCATTCTAATAGCGCCAAAATCATACTCGTATTTGAAAAGTCGGCGGATACCGAGCGTACATATACGTGAAGTTGATCAGACTACTGGCTTTGAAATACCTAGGTAATTAATTTTCTATTAGGGCACAAAATTTTAGTAGGTAAATAATTACTAATTAAAGTCAAAATCAAAATTGTTCGCGGGTACGTGATGTTGGTCGGATCAACCTAATTTCTAATATTTCTATAAAGGCGCAAAATTTCTATAAAGCGGCGCATAATTGTCGCATATTTATGCGCGTTCGATTACCTAAATCAAGTTTATAGATATCTTGTAGTAAATCCTCGACGACAAAATAAATAATCATCCTTCAGCTGCTTTTGATTTGTACTATTCAATTGAAATGTTTTTTAGATTACCGACTAAGTACTTTATAATGTGCTTAAAATGATAAATATGACAAGATATAAAAACTGATACTATATCGTTAGGTACTCGACTGTGCCACATCAACCACAGTAACATCTTTTTTGCGGTTAAGGGAGAGTGCGACGAAGCGAACACAAAAAAAATGATTCAAAAATATCACGTTGAAGGATACGAACAGTTTTGTGAGTTCATGAAGAAGTTTACAAGCACAGATGAGGACATTCACATTTACTTCACTGGTTCAAAATTACCTTCAGGGATTAGCTGGTGCTCGGATTGCGTCAAAGGTGAGCGGAGTATTTGCACTAGACAATTGCACGTTCTGAATCTTTCAAATGAAGTATGTTTACTAGCTATTTAGGTTTTGTTGTTATATAGATAGACACTAATATAATATGGTAGTCAATTGATTAATGTAAAGTGCATAAATGATTGTTAATGGAAATGGGATTTCCAATGGCCGAGATGAGATCACAAATGTGCCGATTATTATGAGAAATGTAGGAAATCAAGGTTAAGTATATAATGTTAAAGTGGTACTTATAATACCACATAATTCGTTGGTAAATAATATCTGTGTATAGGTATAGGTACTCGGTCATTTTATCGCAATTTGCATATTCAATATTTACATCAAGGGATATTCTGTCTATCTTACGTATATACTATGTAGATTTATTATAGACATGCATTTTATGTCCAGTATGGATATTCTATAAATATATTGTTGTGAGACCTAACCTTTACTTCTGGGAATCCCACGATTTACCTCTAGCTAGCTCAGTTGAAATTAAAATGAAAACAAAATTTTTATCCGCATCTCAAGGTCCAGCTGGATTCTGCCACCCTACAGCATTCCAACAATGACATAAATAGGTGGCTTAACCAAATCCTTAAATTCCAATATGAAACTTTACCCCCAGATTTAATCAACTTGAAACAAAGTAAGAGACGCCGACAATTACCTCTCCTTGACTCTAATAAACAAAACCTGGATTGCAATGACTGGTTTAATTTCAAACAAAAAATTGCGTAAATTTCTGTTTTACAAATTGTTACAATTTTAAACAAATAAATGACACACACAAAAAAAAAAACAAATTACTCAAACATTACAAAAAAAACAAGACAAAACAAACCACTAACTACTACTTACTTTTAAAATTAGTCCGAATAACGTATTCCGATAAAAAAAGGTATCCGTACACAATCACGTAAACCAACCACTCAAACACCGACGTCTTCTCTCTTCGGGTACCCACAAATTCAAAACTTCCGTGTTTCCGCAAAATAAAACAAAAAACAGAACGGCGACAAACTTCTTAAACTTTTCAAAAATTCTTCTTAAACGGCAAACAAAAATTCTAATTAAACCTGGATCCACTACGCAAGAAACTTCCACAAAATTCAAAAAATAACGTAACCGAAGAAGCGCCGGTTGGCTTTGTCACGACCAAAAAGCCCGTCTCTCTTCAAAAATTTTCTATTTAAGCCAAAAGCCCTTCTCCTTTCTTCAACATCCCGCCCGCCAATCACGCGAAGCGTCGATTTTTCAACTTCTTGCTAAACGGCACGTACGCCCGGCAATTCTGCGAAGACACCTTATCTCTACTTCGCGCTATACCTCGTTAACGGCAAATAAAATTTAAAAAGAAATTTACATCGAAAAAAAATTCTAGGAATAAAATAAAAACAGAACACTTCTAAGAAATTGAACCAAAACTATAACATGAAATTTACGCGATCCTGTGTCTCAAATTATTAATAACCCCCCCGGTTAATTAATTGAACTAAACAAAATTGTCACATCCAGACGCTCTATAATTTCTTTCAAGTTACAACTAAAACAAAATAACACAACAATATATATTTTGGATATGTGAAACTGTTTAGGAATAATAAGCATTCAAAGTATTCAGAACGACCAACCGGAAAAACATCAAAATCTTAAATGCTTATTCATTTTAAACGGTTTAATACGTTTTTGTGTGAAATTTAATACTTCACAATCTAACTTCTATCAATTTCTCTCTGTCTTGCGGTTTTCAATATAACTAGAATCTAATGCGTGCGATCGTAATTTGCGTAAGAAAACTTTGATAGAGGAAGTGCGATAGACTGAGCCCAAACTTGACGTTTTTTTCTTACAGAAGTTATTGTTTCACATTTTGATCAGCAGTTTCTCTGACCAGATGACGCACAGCATGATGTGCAAAGCGGTTGTATTAGGATTTTTGCTGTATATTTTCTTTCTTATTTATGGAGATATTTCTTTGAAATTTTAACTAAAGATGCTTCTAATAAAGGCAAACATCGCATATTGCAAAACTCACATATGCGCATGCGCTTATTGCACAATGCCAACTTTCTTATTTATAGACATTTCTTTGAGATTTTAACCGTAGATGATTCTAGTAAAGAAAAACATTGTTCACATAGCTATGGTATTTTGTGAAGTACTGATCAATGCATGGAAAATGCGCTATACAGGGTGGTGACTTGCGTAACGCATCATAGGGATTTCAATGTAGAATTCATAACATGCGATTATTGGCTCCCCAAATTATTTTAGAGCAAAAATGTATTAAGGTTTTTTGTAGAAAAAAATTTTTTACGTCAATCAACCGCATTACTTTTCAATTTTTTGTATAATAAGGATGGAAAATTGGAAAAATAAAACCCGCATCTTTTTCAATCATCTGTGATGCCATGGAATTTTCTAAAACAAAAAGATATCAATTAGCAGCAGTTCGAAATGGATTTTATCATCGACTTGGTTACTGTCTTGCAGTGAATGGTGACTTATTCGAACATTTATTGTAAATTGTTATAATAGGAAACCGTTTTTAGTAATTTGGTATTTCTTTATGTTGAATTCGCTGTTCTAAATATAATACTTTTTGATAGAATTTGATTTGTTTTATAGCTGACGTTCCATGGCATGACGGATATTGGCGTAGTTTTTGTATTATAAAGTTCCATGGCATCACAGATTATTGCAAAGGTGCGGGTTTTATTTTTCCAATTTTCCGTCTTTATTATGCAAAAAATTGAAAAGCAATGCGGTTGATTGGCGTAAAAAATGTGTTTCTACAAAAAACCTTAATACATTTGTGCTCTAAAATAATTTGGGGAGCCAATAATCGCATGTTATGAATTTTACATTAAAATCCCTATGATGCGTTACGCAAGTCACCACCCTGTATAAGTTAATCGCCTTCGGGCGCAAACTTGTTTTACTTGTTTACTAAAGTATTCAACATATAAAGTGACCTAGTATCGTTCTGGATAATTATAAGATCATTGATCACATTTGATATGAATAATCAAGTTAAGTAACGTGTTAACAAATTAAATTCACATAACATTTCTTTTTTCCATCATTTAAAAGTGTGTATGGGACCCCTATTTAGTATAAGCGTTGAGTGAAGGAATCACTCAACGGTATACGCAATAAGTGAATTCATTTCGTAGTCCATGCAGTGTAATAGACAAAGGAAAATATCGGAACAGTCTGTCATACTTCTACTAATAGTGTTTTGTTAACATTTTTTACGAAAATCGCGGTCGAGCCCATTTATTTCAAAACGCGTAGCAATCCGAAATAGATTGGAGAAAAAATTATAGCAGATAAATTGTACAGGACTAAATTTCCCACAAAAACTCCGCGAGAACGTACGCCTATTTATGAAACGAGCAAAGCAGGACTTGAGTGAGGCGTCTGCGGTCGGTGTTTTTCATTCATCCATCTTAGCTTTCAAATATATCGTTTTACGCCCAATCTTTGTGAATCCTAATCTAACTTCAATGACAATCAATCCTTCCTTGTTACCTGAAAAAAAAAGTTAAAGAAGAAATGAATAATTTCCTCAAAGGAAACGTTTGACTTTCTTGGTTTATACTATAACCATTGAATAAGCACCTTAGCTTATTCGCTGTAACGTAAATTTAATTACGTAGTTTTATTTATTTACAAATTAACTAACAAATGTATAAGTGCTTAAAGTGGATTTAATTTCTCTCTTTGCCTTCCTCCCTCTTTGGACACCCTGTATAGTGTATATGCACTTGCAGGTGCCTATAGAACCTATTCATCAATGTCACTGAGAATTTGTAACTTGGTACTCGCGGTATAGGTACCTACTCTTTCCGTAACTGTGGATATTTTTCTTTACACTACCTAATCCTAAAAATTTGAGTAGGAATAAAATAATTCATGCCATTGTTTGTGTACAACGGTTTGAAGTTATATTATAATATATGAGATTTAAGAAAGCCAAACTCAACTTCCAACAAAGGCATTAACAATTTGGAGTAGTGGGCGGTCAGTCGCCACTCTCTTTACCCAAATTTAAATAAATCCCTAAAAGAGCATCTAAAAAAGCGGCAGAGCACCTCGGTGTGACCCCACGGGGTCATTGGATTTGACACATTTTCAATTGGCTTGTTACATGTGGTATATAAGGTATGAGGTTCAAGTGTTTGGCAGAGACAGAGAGGTGTGACCCAAAGGGGTCATTGGATTTGACCCATTATTACTTGTGGCATATAGGTCAACTCGAGGACCAACTGTGCAAAGTTTGAAACAAATCGGTCCAAGCGTTTGACAGTTGTCGTGTTCACGGATGGACGGACAGACGGACACCATTGACTCCCTTATAAAGTTTGCATCGATTTGCTCTACCGATTAATAAATAGCTCAAAATAATTATTTAAAGAGTACGTCTTTTTCACATCAGCAACGCTCTAACACCTTGTCGCCGATAGTTTTAAATAATAAATTGATGAGTCATACTCAACTTACTTTGAATTTATCTTTACTTCAAACGAGCGTTGTTAACTTGTAGCATGTTATAACTTGTAGTCATTTTTAAACGAACAGAAACCTCAATTTTGATAAAAATAGTTTATGCTAATTATATTACAAGAGCGCTGCTGTTGTGTTATCAGGACAACACTTGCACATATCACCAAATTATCTTTAGGGAACGGTACAGAAGCCGTTGTAGATAGTAGTTAATCTGTTGCGTAGTAGTTCTGAGTCATCGTGTCCGTGTGTGTAGTTCACTTTTAAAAAAATGGTCCATCATCATCATGTTGAAGGTTATGATAAATTTTGCGAATATATGAAAAAATTTCAAAATGCAAGCGAATATATTTATGTATACTTTACCGGTTCAAAATTGCCTTCGGGAATTAGTTGGTGCCCAGACTGTGTTAAGGGTGAGTTCATCCACTATTTAATAACGCACTAGTTAGGTGGTTTTATGCTACCTACTCACTCAATTCAGTTACACTTGTTGGACAATCAAATTTGATAGATTCACCTTTTGTATCAGTATAACCTTGTGAAATTTTTAATTATAATTAATATAATAATTAACCTAACCCAAAACAAAACTAATCATTACATATGGAGCAGTACGGTATCATACACACAGGTCCTAACTTGTGATTATGTTTTATAAGGTTACAATGTTTATAAATAGCGTAATAAATCATGGGAACACATAGTATATGTTACACTTTATTGTTTAGAGTGCATTTGATATGTGATTGACAAAATCAATGGTGCACCCAGACAAAATGTGAACTTTTAACAGGTGAACTATCTTTTTAGCAAAACCTATCGTGGAGGAGGCTTTAAAGCATGCAAATCCCAACTCTCACTTTATTGTTGTTGACGTTGGTAGTCGAGAGATGTAAGTACAGTGTAAATTTTATTGTTTGATTAATTTTCTGTATTTTTTAGATGGAAGGATCGTAACTGTCCATTTAGAACGGACCCAAAAACAAGACTGCTAGTGATTCCGACATTAATGAGATGGGGCCATCCTCAGAAATTGGAAGGAGAACAATGTGAAAAATCTGAACTGGTTGAAATGTTATTTACAGATGAAGATTAATGTGTACCATATGTTTTATTATATTGTGGGAAATGATTTTGTAACTTCATCATAAAACAGCCTTAGAATTACTGGGTTATTTCACTGGTATGCTTTTGAAAGATTTTTTGTGGTTATATGTAAATTATTGTATAAATAAAACAAATTTGTCTTTGCTATAACAATTGAAAATATTGGTGCTATTCCACGAAACTGGAACTAAAAGAAAGGATTAGGTCCGTTATAGCACAATGATTTCTTTCAATGCGTTGTGAGAGAAAGAACTAGTTTTGTTTTGATACTAATATGGGAATAATAATCCAGGTCATTTGCAATAGTTACAGGAAGAAATTGTTGTACACCCCAGAACAGTTGTTCTGTGCCTATTTTTTATTACAGTGAAGTAAATGGATAGCGTTGTATAAGTTTAGTGAAAATTTCTGTTATTTTGCTTTCCACACTTCGATGGCGCATTTCCGGATGTATTTTACAATTTCTAAGGCCCTTTTCGATATGTTAACAAAGATTATGCATCTACCTTTTGACTTTAAATAATCGATTTTAAGTTTCTTACTTCTGCTTTATTCTTTATAATTACCTACCGAATTGTGCTTTCTACATCGATATTCCCGATTTTTTTAATATTGCGCAAGAAGGGGAAGGTCCACCGCCATCTTATCAAGTTAAGAACGCCATAGATGAGTTTCTACCTTACCGACAGATTCCAGTGAAAAATTAGTCCGCCATTACCTATGATCCAAAAATGAAAATGAAAAAAATGGACAATGCCCCCCCCCCCCCCCCCCCGCCGGGACCGCCACTGACGCAATGGAATATGAGGAGCTTTACTGTTTCAAATTCAATGTCTACTGATGTATAGAGGTACGTACACCCGTTAAAATATAAGAAAAAGCACTAATTTTTTTGGAGTTAGAAATTTTCAAAAATGCAGCAAACTGATTTTTTCGGAGACACCCCCCTCCACCTTTACCATGTCCAGCCACACCAGCTACGAAAAAACCGCCACTGATAACTAGATACCACGGTGAATATGAGTCACCGTGCTAGATACCCACCCGCCTGCTGTCTAACCCGAATGCCATATGTGATTGTATTTCCTCTCCGCATAGAAGTAGAACGGCAAAGAATTAAAGATGTATGTGTCATACGCGGTATAATAACAATATCTTTTATTATGTTTAAGTAACAGAAAAAGTTACATGCAATCGTCAAAATTATTATCGCTATCATTGATTATACACACAACTGTATAATCAATGTCGCTATAAAATCATTTTACGGATTGCAGTTTTAAAACAAAAGAAATCGAGTGAATGCTGTATGAATGCGGCCTGCTCAATTTGGCCCAAAACAGCAGTGCCACCTTAGTAACAACTTCAAGGTTATTCTAACTGCAAATAAACAAAGTTGAAGCCTGAAGGCGGCCTTGAGCGTCGGATGTGGTCATTGACACGCATAATATTTTCGTGTATGAGACTCGTGCAGTCCAATTTTTAAATATACCTAGCTCTTTAATGTAGGTAATTTCTTGTGTAATTTTATTTATGTCTTATACCGAAATGGAAGAAAGTGATAGAGAAACCATTCAACGAAACTACGCTACTCTGGTTCGCGAATGTAACATTGAAAAACTTCTTCCAGTTTTGGAACAAAAGGAAGTCTTCCCCACACAAGCAATAGAGAAGTACAAGGTATGTTTCCCTACGTTAGATTTTATTAACACAAAGTGATATAATAATAATACTATGCAATCAAAAATGAGTTGCTGTCGAGTCGCCTTTTAATTTTTTGTTTACATGGAAAATCGAATTTAACTTGAACTTCCAAAGGCGACTCGATAGCAACTCATTTTTGATCGCCTGTTATTATGTTATTAATATTTATAGTAACCGAGATGCCTACTTGATCCAAAGCTACAGTAACAGGATAACACCCCTTTTTTAACCTTAATTTTTATTTATTTATTACCCAGTGAGTTGATTGTGTGACTTGTGGACAAAGTAATATTCGGTGCGAATAGTGAGGTTCCAGCCGCCTCACTGGCTGCTATTTTTTATATATCAGTCAGACCTGAGTTGGGTAGATGTATTGCAATTCTCTGTAACAGCCAAGGTAACAGCTTTTGTCTCAGGTTCAGCACTTTTTAAAATTGCATGTCGAGTAGGTATATCAGTTCCGTTTAAATTTCCCTTTGAAATTTCTTAATATACTTAGTTCGATTTCGTACCCCTAATAGTTCTACAGTTTTAGTTGAGAATATTAGTACTTAAAAGTCGAGTTAAAAGTTCTGTTTATTAACTTGAAGTAATAGTAATGGCACTTCATTTGTATGGAGCAGTTTGCTTTATTAACGGCTGCTGTTTGATTTCAAAATCATCTACTAAAATATCCAATGGGGTTGGCATTGTTGACGGCGGGCCTATTTCTTTGAATGTAGATCGAAGTTAGTTCAGGTGTGAGCGAATCAACTTTCTCCAACCTTATTGGTAAACAAGAACATTGAAGTTGGTTCCACCGATCGCTTCAATAACTGAATCCACTTCCAATTGCGTGTGTTGTCATACGGCCTCGCATTCAGCTTTGCATACACTATGGAACCTGAAACTCATTTTTTCTACCAGTTCGAGCCGGATAAAAAGTTCGGTTTTTGACTGTGCACTGATTTTCTTATATATTTATATTATTATAATAAAGCAATCCAGGGGATACTCCAATCCGATCTTTTCGATTGCTGTATTACTTTTTTGATAGCACTCATAATTACGGAGGTAGCCTATAAAAGTGTGAAAAATGGGACCCTTGTACCTCGCCTTGTACATCAGTACTGTACAATTTAAAAATAGAAACACTTCAGAATCTACAGTTTCAGTGGCATAGAAAACTAATAAGTTTTACTGAATTTATCAAAAACTACTTAAACTAGGTCTCGAACTAGGTATATGCAAGGTATATGCAAACGTTTATCTAGAATTTAATTCTACGTGGAATATTGAAAAAAATATACAGGATGTTCCATTTAGAAAAATTGAGAAATCTGTATATAATGTCTTGACTATGAGATTTAAAAGAAGTATCAGCGACCCTCCTGTAATATAATCTCCTACGAGATTATTGGTTCATATTTTTAGCGCATTTTCCAACTCATGTTGGAGATATTTATTTCCTTACGCGCTTTCACATACTGCGCAATGTCAATTTTCTTATTTATAGAGATATATTTTTTTAAATTTTAACCACGGATGCTTCTAGTAAAGACAAACATATCGCATATTTTAAATATTATGTATGCTAAGTTTCTTATTTATAATAATATTTATGCCTTAATTTATTTTCCTTTGTATGTACACATAAATAGTCCGTTATATGACGTTTCGTGAAGTATCAATTCATTGAAAATGCTCTCAAGGTACTCGCCTTAAGGCGTCATTTTTGATTAATCAAGGACAGTGTTTTTAACATCTATCTATCCACAGGGGAGCGCGACTAGGCAGCACTTAGGTACACCACAAGCTCCTCAGGTTTGAGGAATGGGCAATCTGAGTTCAGCCATTGCTCGTTGTCGTATGGAAGCCTTCCGAGCCTCTGCCTTCACAGCTAAGTTCCGTAGGTCCGAAATTGAACTTTGCGCTCTTGTTATATAAGTTTTTTTTAATTCCACCTAGAACTGCGATTATTTTTGATAACTTGACAGATACTTTATCAAAGTGGCTGTTCCCAAAATTCAACAACTTGGTTGTATGCTCCTAATCTTCGATTTTATCCTCTTTCAAAAAGCAGCAAAAATTAGATTTAATTATTTAAGGTAGACGTGAGAAGTGTTCTTTCAATGTGCTTACGATAGCAATCTGAGTCATTTGACACTATTTGTACATGGTGGCCAAATAAGAATGTGAGGTACTGTATCTGGGAACTTGTCCATCATAGAGGCTTGCGGTAAAAAAATTAATTACTAAAACGGCCACGAGAAAAACCTGGAAAAATGTTTAAGTTTCTGCAATGGCCGCTAGGGGGCTTAACTGCAATCTGGAATCTAAAAAAGTGATTTTTCTGTGAATTCCGCTATATTAATCTAACAAAAAAATTTCCGGTCTTTGAAGTTAACGATAATCTGAACCTTTTTTGTTTGACAATTTTTCCTGTATCTCTATTTTATTTTATTTATTTATTTTATTTTATTTATCTAAAAATGAAGTGGGGTATTCAAAGGTTTCCGTAAAGAACACCCTGTATCTTCGAAACGACTGAGTCGATTTTAACAAACTCGAGTTAATTGAAAAGAGTTATTCTTCGTCTACAAAGTTTTGTTAGTTTCACATATCGCCGCTGGAGGGCTTTTTTCGACATTCCGCCAGAGATGGTTAATTTTCTCAAAAAAATTAAATGCGTTGGTTTGATTTTTTTTCATGAAAAAGTAGCTAAATGATGCCTAAACAAGGTCACGAAAACCGCATCTCGATATCTTGTTCCTAACCTAAAATTTAGACCAAAGAAAATTTTATACCCTCAAACTTTTATTTTTTTAAGCTAATTTTTCCGGAATTATTTTTATTATATAATTTGTGGCCCTAAGGTGGATCGATTTAAAAAAGGAAGCTTTTAATGCCGCCGTAAATGCTCGAAATGCTGGCCATCACGATATAAAAAATATATATTACAGCGGATCCTATAGTACCTGCCAACCTTTGGAAGCGTGTAGGTGGTGCTAGGGGAGTATTTGATATAGACACTTGGTCGAAATCTAAAATAAGGCGCCAGAGGTCCAAGATTTACCTTTCTGGGAATTTCCGCCTGTACGTAGGCAACTCCAACCGGCCGGCGGTTGCACACGGAGCGATTTCAGGCGGCGATGCTGTGCGCTGACACTTGATCAGAATTTTGTTTAATACGCCACGAATCCCGTCTTGCAACGACCCGACAAAGTGAATAAAACACTATGGCATAGTATAATAATAGTTGGGCTAGGATGTAGGAAGTGCATTGAGAACAACGGTGGCCACGCTTGAACACATTGTAAACGTATGCTTGAACTGTCGTTTTCCCTCCTCTCCCTCCCATGCGCTTCCTCGCGCAACTCGCCTCTTGCATCGCCCTCCGCGCGAAACGTCGGTCGGTTGCGGTGCCTGACATACACAGGCCGTGAAATTCCAGAAAGATAAATTTTGGTTCTGGCGCCCTTATTTTAGATTCCACCCCAATGGTCCTATATCAAAATACGCCCCTAGGCCACCCCCGATACGCTCCCAAACAGTGGCAGGTATATAGGAATCACCCTGTATATCATCAAGATATCTAGATGCTGTTTCTCGAACTTGTTTAGCATCATGTTTAGCTACTTTTTCATGAAAAAAAAAATCGAACTAATCCATTTTCAATTTTTTTAAGAAAGAACCATTTCATTCGAAGATAACGGGTGTTCTTTACGGAAACCTTTGAATACCCTCCACCACTTCATTTTTAGAGATACAGGAAAAATTGTTCAGATTATCGTCAACTTCAAAGACCGGACATTTTTTTGTTAGGTTAATATAGCGGAATTCACAGAAACATCACTTTTTTAGACTCCAGATTGCAGTCACGCCCCCTAGCGACCATTTCAGAAACTTAAAAATATTTTCCAGGTTTTGCTCGTGGCCGTTTTAGTAATAAATTTTTTTACCGCAAGCCTCTACGGTGGATAAATTCTCAGATACAGTACCTCGCATTCTTAGTTGGCCACCCTGTACAGTTCAAAAGATCGACCCTGATCTTTTCCCATGATTCATCTTTGGTAACACTATATTAACACACAACATCCCCCAACAAGTGTACTTACAGCTGTTACTAATACCTCTAGTAACTCTTAAAGTATATAAAGGAGAGCTGACGCGTCCGCCATATTGAGTGCCAAATATCCAGCGCTTAATTGAGAATGTAATAGAAAATGTCTTCATTTTCAGACACTCAAGGATAATTTGAAAATAAAACGAGCCGTATTCTTCGAAATTCAATCAAGAGGACCGAAAGCATTTGCCAAACTGGTTACGTCCCTACACGAAACCGATCAGTCTGCCTTGGCGGAACGTCTGGATCCGACGTTCGTCACTTACCTTCAACCGAAAAAGCACGCGCGACCATTTCAACTGCCGACGAATGTCGCCGAGAGTACTTGCAATCCTGAGGACATAATCGCACTCGCACAAAATAACGCACATAACACTATTAATTTGAATGCAGAACCTCTTAAGGTCAAAGTGACGTTTTCACACAGTTTTTATGATCAACATACTCATGTTCCTACGTATAGTACGCACTCGAAGAAACGAGGCATCGTGTTAATTATCAATATGATAAAGTACATGAACGATGTGCATTTGGAGCGGAAAGGTGCCGAAGTCGATGGTAGAAACTTAATCGACTTATTCTCCCAAATGGGTTTCATAGTGGAGTACCACATAAATTTATCAGCTAATGTGAGTCCGTCAGGAGCGTAAGTTTTAACATTAACGGTTTGGTTTTAGAGAATTAAGGACGTTATCTTTGAGTTTAAATCATCTCCGCAGCTTGAGGGTTGTGATATGGCATTTGTGATAATTATGGGCCATGGTGAAGATATTAATCATAAGAAAAATACGCATGTTTCGGACAATCTTTCCGAGGTTATTGGTTACGACAATCAATCGGTCTCGAACAAATGGATAGAAGAGCAGTTTACGAATGGTGAATGCAAAAAGCTGCAAAATAAGCCCAAGATTTTTATGTATCAAATGTGCAGGTGAGTTTACTTGGTAACAAACCCTCTTGTTTGGTTGGCTACGCCAGGCATATGCCAAAGTATCATGTGTAAAGTATCAATTACGGTACTTACGAACGTAACTTGCGAAGATGCAAAAGGCAAAAAGGTTTTATGTGTCAGTTAAAACACCTTTTATAAAATTCGGCCATGCCATGGAAGGTACGCCGGTTATCCCAACCAGTCCAGTGTATTTGCATCAGAACGTCCAAAAATTAAAAGTTGTGACGTCCTAACAATTTATAATTGGTCTTAAAATGCAAATTAATTACGAGAGCTTCTTTTACACCAGGCACGAGTTAATTGGATGATGTTTCTGTAAGTCATTAAATTAGCTACTGTTAATTGTACTCAACTTAAATGTGCGAGATGAAATTTCTAAATTCATACTTCTAATTAACCTCCAATTTCTCAAGTAGGCCTTTAGATCTCCTCTCAAACTGATACTGGCGTAAACCTGCAGGGCCTTGCAGTTTTAATGGTCATTTTAAATGAACATAGGAAACCAAAATCATCTAATAATTACGTTAAAGCGTTGAGTGAAGGATCTAGGTAGAGAGGCAATGCTTATGTTAAAAGCATAGTGAACGTGGGGTTTGAGATATAGGCGGCCAAGAGTGATCTCAGATCCCGACGGCAACAACCAAGTCGGCGATCCAGATCCGGATTGCATTATTTTATTTTCATATTTTCGCTACCACAATATTAACCTTACAATTACATTATCGCTTTATTAAATTTGCGCACAGCAGCGTTGAGCAAAGCGAGGGCAACAGGCGAAATATACGGTTACGGTAGGGCCGTATCAGAGGCTGCATGTGGCCCTTGTAAAATTAATTTGTGATCGATGATCGAAACAGTATGTTTACGGTGACCGAAACATATTATTTAAAAGTATTATAATGCACATTTTATATCTAGGTATATTCTATATAAAACAAGCGGCCGCATCAAAAGCAAGCCTTTAATCATGATAGCAGAATAGCTAGATAAAGTTACCAGCAGATTCGCCAATTAAACAAGTTGTCTTTGACCTTTCCGGTTATGATAAAGAGAAACACATAAAATAAATAATAATATACATAGTCACAGGTACCTATCATTATAAAATTCAGGAGGTACCGTCTTTTTTTCAAATTGTCACGTTAATTGCGAGAGAGTACCTATACCTAGCGTTATCGGTTTAAAATAAGTCGGTAGTGTGCTAAAATTGTAGGATGTGTTGCAAATCATATTTGCGTTTATGCAAATTGCTACATCAGCAATAAACATAGTGATGGGATAAGTTTCTTTAAATTTCCCATAACAGACGAAACTAGGACCAAGGTGTGGCAACGTAACTGCGGGAACATTAAGATTTTTGAAATGGACATCCAAGGGTTGAAACATAAATTAATATGTGAAAAACACTTTCTAACCGAACATATGTACAAAAGTGGACGACGTAAGTTGCTGAGGAAAAATGCTACTCCAATTCAATTTAAAGGTAAGGTAAACGTATATAACAGATTCCGTGTAGCTTTGCGGCTGAAGTACTTATTAGGAATTCCTACTAGAAATGGCTGAGCTCATTATCCCTTGCATGAAAATAGAATGACTCATTTTGTTTACGTGTGTTACAACAGTTTTCGATAGTTGCAATTGGAGTTACGCTAAAGACTGATTTCGTTGGAGAGGGCGGCTGGGCGAAAATACTTAATACTTGTAAATTGTAAAGAAGGAAAGCGCCGTCGAAATTGTCGGTGGCGTTAGCTATCGGTGTTGCAAAACGTGGACTCGGAGGGGCAGAGACGCGATGTGCGATAGAGAAGGGACTACCTTAGTAAAAGATCGGAAAGGATGACCGCTTTTCATATAGGCATTACCACTCTACCTAGATCCTTCACTCAACGGTTAAAGTGTTTATGATTAAAAATATCCGGTCGTAACTGAGCTTTTCAACGAAACAGACAGATGGTATTGCTTCGAAACTTTTTGAATGTTATTTATCTCGATTTAGACGACACTGGGTTCGTTGTAACTACAGATGATTTGATGGTGGAAAAAAATTCCCTTTAACACCTGTTGAAGACCTTAAAGAAAGGCTTTCTTATGTGAATCAACGCTTGATAAACACAATTCGACTTTACTTTAAACGGCATAATAAAAATCTCTTTGAGCACTTTCTAAACTTTTTTCGACAACATTACAATTAACAAGATTGACTGTCTTTTCAAAAAGCTCTGATAACGGCAAACTGTCGAACAGACGCAACGCCTACCAAACAACTATTCATGTCTGCGACCAAAAAGCCACACTTCCCGTCTTCCTCTGTTATGTAAAACATTCTTCCATTTCATTTTCCGAACCAACTCCTTATCAAATTATTGCGCGTCGTCAATGAATAAACTCCACACACACACATGTGTAAACTTACGACGAAAGACATATGCTTATCTACACCTAATTGGCTTGTACGGAGCGATAACGAAACTTCTTATCGCAGTGACCGGATTTACAAGAGATAACTTACATAAAACATTCGCCAATTCAAAATAAACAAAGCAATTATTTGAACAAAATCAAACATCAAATAATTTGGATACAAAACCTTGACCTTAAATTAATATGAGTTTTATAAATACAGTACGTCCTAAGATGAGGTAACTATAATCAACCATATTATACGTTGTTAATGGCAGTTCTTACGTTGAATAAAACTTTACTTATCTGGAAAGTTTGTGTTCTGTACTTTATTTATAATTTGTTGTGATAGATTTTATCTATGAATATTTGAACTTTGTCAAAATTTTAAGGTTGCCGAACAGTTTTTTGAATTTATTTGAAAACTGTGCATGTTACATGAAAACTACATGTAACGTTTTAGAACAAACAGGACTTCTCGGAAAGTGAAAAAATGGTTTATTATAGGTATTCACAATATCAAAAATCGACTCCCTCTCATCTTGGGACATACTGTATTTTGAAATGGCAAGTAATTTAACCCTCCTCTTTCATCTTATTTTGTAATTTGCGCTGTCGAGTTTTTTTCGACCATGGATGCTTGTCCAGTACCTATTGTAACACAGTAATACGCATAACCAAACTTTATTTGGTTGATGTACTGTATGTCGCCTTTACGTTTCACAAAACCTATACTTTAGCATTTGGAAATACAAATCAACATAGTTGTCATTCTATTCAATTCATACCTTATCAGATTTGTATTTCCAAACCCTCATTTTTTTCATCGCAGATTTTTAATTATGAAATGTTTGTTGTAGATTAACCGATGAACTTGCAAATCCGAAATATCAAGACAACTGTCTTTAGTCGTTTCTCTGACTGTAAGAAATGATACTAGGCTAGTATAATAGAATGTGTCTTTCTCCAAATCTTCCTTGTAGGTCTAAAACTGTCCGGAGATGAATCTCATAAGTAACTTCATATATTTTGGGGCTTCCTAATTTTTCATACTTTTCTGTTTCCATATTGGCTAGCATGAAATGTATGTGTAGGAAGCAGTTTTTCGTTGATTGAATGCTTTCTGATCAAGCAATTGGTAGTGTTTATTTGATTTCCAATAATTCAATTTCTTATAGTCTTTCTATATTTTTTTATTTGTCTTGTTCTATTTCATCATTTTTTTTCCATTTTTATTTTTTTCTGTGTCCGTTATATTTATATTATTTCCAATTTTCCTTCATATATTTTGTTTCTTTCTGTTTCATCATTTTTTTCATATCTTTTTTTGAATCTTTTTCTGCATGTTTTTCACAGATATATTGCTTTGGCGTCATTGCGCAGAAATCGCATAAAATCTGCATTGTATTACTAAGTAGGTACCTATTGATCACAGGACCACATCAAGGCTTCTATTAACAAATGGCTGGTAGTGCAATTTTATTCGTAAGTGCTATAATATTGTTTTAACTAAGGAATAAAAAAATATTGGTGGTGAATCGGTACATCAAACTGCTGAGTCAATCAACAATTTACATCTTAGTGGTTAAGTCAGGTGTTTGTGAGTTTAATTTATTGTAGATACATTATGGTAAAATGAGTATCAAATTCCAATTTTGGGTAAAGTATTATTTAAGTTACATAAAATCCCTATGTTTTGAAAGTGTGGTCTATTTAAAAACAAATTCCACATATTCTTTTAAATCAGTCTCTCTGTGTGTTAAAATTACCTTTAATTGTATTAAAAGGAACGATTATAATCTATTTTATATTTTCAGGGGCAAATTTCCGGATTTTGGTGCAGCTCAATCTCGCATCGAACACGATTCGGGTATTAGAACACCTCGACCTGCTCGTGTAATGTTACGAAGTTGTAGTGATATGTTAATTGCTCATTCTACACTGCCAGGTGCAATGAAAGTAAACACATTGAACTTTTAACACCTTCAGTTTTTTTCTAGGCGATGCATCTCATCGAGACGTATACTTGGGTACATGGTACATTAATTTATTTTGTAAATACATGATGCTACGCGCTCATGACACGCACCTAGAAGACATATTTAAACTAATTGATTCCGAACTGGCTCATTTACGTTCGGCGGAGTATACCATGCAAACTTCCATGTACACCAACATCGGATTTAAGACTTGTTACGTACATCCAGGAATTTACTTGGATGGTAATGAAATTCGAAGGATAGATGAAGACGCCGTACCTGAAGTTAATGACAATGTTGCGTGAGGCAAAAATGACAAGGTTGGGAGTTCTAATTTGTGACATATTAGGAATATTAGGCAGCACTCATCGTCAGCGAGTGATATTGTATTGTTGATATTTTATTATGATAATTAATTATAAGTTGCGGTATCATATTGTATTGCTATTTTGATTATGGAATTTACAGTAATTGTGCAATTTTAAAAATAAAGTATTATTTTTTCAATCTTCGTGTATTGCCGGTATATTCTGGTACTTAATTGCCCTAGCAAAGGGAAATAAGATTGAACAGTTTCATACAAGAAACTCATGACGAGAAGGATACGAGTCACTGTGAAGCCTCATGTATTGCAACAAAAAATCTGGAAATGGAACTTGAATTTTCCAGCTGGAGGCGCACTCGAGTGGGAACGTCAAAAAATAAAACTTGTTTACCAGTAAATCTCCCATTTTGAGTATACAATGGACGCCAAATTACCTAATTAAATTTGTTTAATTAATTAGTCGATCTATTCTAAAATTTGGGGCCAGCCTAAAAATTCATGCCTCTTAAGCGTGCTTTATTTGACACTAGACGCCATCTTATCTGACAAGGTTTGCTGCAACACATCTCATTAGCTACCAGATGCTCGCTCAAATAGGGGTGTGAAATTTAAAAAAATTCGGTAGTCCATTAGTAAGTAGACGTAACTTACATTAATAAAAACTTATCTGCACTCTACAGCGAGCAAAAGCAGATTAAATGGTCTTCCAATGTTATCGATAGAAAAATAAACTTCTCTAGAGATCAATTATGTGATATAGTACCTATAGACAAAATTTAGTAAAATAGTGTATAGGGTGTTCTAAATTGCGTGTTTTTGGAGGATATTTTGAGCAAACTTTAAGATGCTGTATCTCGGTATAAAAATACCCGCCCCTTCTAAGGGACTATTTTACGTAGGTAAGGTTTATTTATACTTTTTTGATATTCCTGAAGGTGGCAAAAAACCACGAACTTATAAATTAAGATGGACTGCTGAAAAAAAGGTTAATGTTGGGTTAATGCTTGTTTATTAGTTGATTTGAATTTCGCGCCATGTGAGTGCACATCATGGCGGCCCCCATGTAGGTGTGATTTGTTAATTCAGCATTAACAGTCCATATTAATTTATTAGTTCGTGCAAAAAAGTAACCAAATGAGTTACGGCACTCAATACCGGTACTGATCTCAACTTGTTATTGAACTTACATGTCACCTCACATGCTAGGAACATTATTTTGTTAATATTGTTATTATGCATTCCCATCATTACAAACAATAAGTTTTGCTACACAATTTCATATTAATTTGTCAATTGGTTTTTTCCCAGCCTATTCTGTTTTTATTCGGTGAACTACCATTTCTAAAGTTTATTCTTGCAATGTAATTTATTTGGACATATTTCCGAACTTCCGTAATCTTCATAATATGAACAATAATTATTAATCAATAACATTTCACAATTTGAGTGTTTTTTTTACGTTTCTTCCCTACTGTACTTCAGATCATAGCGTTGTTTACAACTAACGTAAGAGGGCCCTGCTTAAGATGTTTGATCACGTGCCACTTTTCGATTTCATTCCGAGGCCATTTTTAAACGTTGCCGGGTTGACTTTATTTATGTGTTCTGTAGTGTGAAGTTAGCGTAGAACTTGATGGGGATTAAGAACACTACAAAGTGAAAATCCCTTAACCACCATTAATATGTGTGTGGTAAATTTACAAAATTGCTGGTATAGGAAATTTTATACATTTAACGCTTCATAATGAAAGTAAGTACTTTAAGAAAAGAAAGTATTCAAGCAGATAAAAGTCGAAATGTCACAGTGCTGCCACGATCTCGTACACCTCAAAAGTTTCGTTCAAGTTTGCAGAAAGCAGAGCATGTCATGGATATACGGGATTTGCGTTCAGGGAAAAGGGGGTCGTTTCGTATTTAGATTCGCCGAGGTATTTAAGTAAAAATTTGGTGAGAAAGCGGGGTATTTGAGGGTGATCAAACCAGAGCAACAGGTTTTTGAGTTTCACATTATGAGGAGCTAAGAACCAACGTTTCGCAAGGTAAGAGTAATTAACGGTTTATTTATTACGGAGCTAGCTGTAGTATGTGGGTATTATTCCATTGCAGAAGATTGTTACAGTAAAATTTTTGTCAGTGCCGTAGAAATTAAATTTTATTTTAGGAGCGCAGAGTGTTCAACCCCGGCAAGTGTAACTAGCCATTTAGAAACGTATGCAGAAGTTATTAAAAAATTCCTATCCCTGTTTCTCCACATACAATATACTATGAAAGAGTGATGTGAAAATATAACACCACTTTCAGATATTAAGAGAACATATATAGAAATTTTTATTGACTATAATCTAATTGGCCGAATATTAATCATACAATATAAAATATTACAACAATATTTTTACAATTATTTTAGAAATTAACTAATAAATAGATACAACAAACTGTGTGCAGTATAAAAATACCTTAACATGAATACTTCTATGTACTCGCTGAAACAATTACATATTGCAATAAGACCGTGTAAATCTCTACTAAATTAAAAAACGAAAATGTGAAAACATCAATTCTTTTCATTATTAGTAGTTCTACGACGCGTGCTTGTGAATTGCATACGTGGTTTATAGAGATCATCGCTGGAGTATCGCTGTCTGTTTGCCGCTAAAATAAAATAAGACGAATTAAGTGTTCAGATTACCCAAGGACAAAAAATACATCCTAACAGTGGGTTGCATTAAATTCGATTTGTTTTTAAACATATTCCAAAATCATTGTTGCATTGGACTGCGTATAACTTTCCCCCTTCTCAAATTTTTCTCACGTTTTTTAAAATCTTTTTAAATCTACTGTTCAATGGTATTAGTATTATGTTATATAATTTAATTACAATTAAAACCCTTTTTTTTAATACTTAACTGTCAAGTAGAACTCACCTCTGTTTCTCCTAGGTCTACCTTCAGATACTTCGTTTCTTTTTTCGCTATTAAATGATTTTTCACTGTCTGCTGGACTCAGAGGCAAATTAAAATTTTCTAAGGTATTTACTAAAAAGGAACATAAATAAGACACGAAAATATTTTCAAAAATGGAATATATACCAGCGCTGTCCGTTAATTTTGCCTTTTTTCCTTTATGTTTCGGTGTGCTGGCGGGCTCAATCGTGGAATTGTTGAGCTTTACACTTAAAAGATCTGAAAGAACTGATTTAAAATCTCTAAAGAAAAACGGAATACAATATAATATCAAGAAATACAAAAGAATGCAAGAGATTTAGCATCCATTTTGTGCAAAGTGTAATTGTATCATAAAATCTCGTTTCTTGAAAATTAGTAAAATTCATTAGGATTCTCTTGTATTCCTTGCTATCGGATACCACATGTTTGTACAAGAAGACCACATGCACTACCCCCTCACAAGATACTAACCTCCCAACTCTTTGCTAATTTTATTATTGTTGCGCACATCCGAGTGCTCATTAGAGATACGTTTAATACCTCTTCCAGGCGAAATAATGATCTCGTTACTTGTCACATCAACAACTTCAACTTTGGGCAGTCTATTAAAATCGCTAAACTCCTCGGTACTTTTTTTAAGTCTAGATTTGTCCTTCTCAGCCAAATCTATTAAGTACGCTTTCGACAACTTTGCAAGATCAGATTCCCACTGTGTAATGGTTTGGTTCGACTTATTTAGACAAAGTTCGGCTTCGTCGACCAGCTGCTTGCCAAAACCTTTGAAATCGTGTTTGTTTGTTACTTGCTTTTCGTTTTTAGTGCCGTCTTCTTTTTTAGTTTCTACTTCACTTTGTTCTATTTTGTGATCCTTAATTGTTTCGGAGGCGTCAACGTACGAATTATAATCGACTTGTAGAATATTTTGGGCGTTCAACTTGGCTTCGATTGCATCCCAGCTTTCTTTGCTTATTACAGAAGTCTGTAATGAAGTTTCGTCCTCAGCAGGAAGTTTAACTTCTTCAACTTTGTTTTCAGTGTCGTTCTTATTCTTTTCCAGAGCTGTATTATTGACGGTTATGTTATGAATTAGAGAACTATTTGTACTTAATAGCTCCATTTGCTTTTGTTTTTCTAATTTACCCAACTTTTTTCTGATTTTCATCAACCTTTTCGCCTCAAAAATATTGGAAGCGAATTTGGGTTTAATTAGCTTTAAATGTGGCACTGTATTCGATAACACTCTGGCATTTTCCTCTTCCGAAACGATGCATGGAATTGAAGCAATGTCCGCCGGTTGCGCTAATAGAGATATGGTAGCATCCGAGTTCCCAGAATCGGCCCCAGTGCTTGCTCCTGAATCCACCACAGACGATTCTTGACTGGACTTTTGTAACTGGGAGGGCGTTGTTAAATCGGTCAATGAGCCCGAGGAGCTGTGTGTTCCTGATTGGCCATCGCTCGAATCACGATCGGTCGAGCGACGATGAGACCTTTTTTCTTTCAAGCTGTAGTGATCGTCTTTCCTTACATCTTTACGGGAATCTCGTTTATCTTTGTCTCCTTTGTCACTTTTTCGATCTGAAGAACTATGTGAATGTTTGTCTTTTTTATCTGATTTATCACTACTTTTTTTGTTGTCCTTTGATGATGTTTTGCTCGAGTCGGAGGAACTTTTTCCATTATGTTTCGAATGAGACTTGTCATCTCTACTTTTTTTCGAACTACTATGTGATCTTGACTTTTCCTCTTTATTATCTTTAGAACTTTTAGATTCTGACGATGTTCTGCTTTTACCGTCCTTATGCTCGCCGGATTCTTTACTTTTACTATCGTGAGACTCTCGCTTCGAACTCTTTTCCTTGCTATGCCTGTGACCGGAAGAACTACGTTCACGCTCCTTGTCTTTGCTTGAACTTGACTTACTATCACCATGCTTTTGGTCCTTATCACTTTTACTTTTTTTGTCTTTATCTTTTCTTGAACTTGAATCGCTACTCTTACTGCTATGATGATCCCTCTTATCCTTGTCTGACTTCCTATCTTTGTCGCTCTTACGATCCTTACTATCGTACTTTGATTTATGAGAACTGTGCCTATGCGAGCTATGATGCTTGTCCGATTTTTTATCCGAAGAGCGTTTCTCCTCAACCTTTTTGATTTCTTCTACTTTTTCGCCAGATGACGTTATCTCCACAGTTTCTGACGACGATTGAGAATCTGGCACATCTACTGATTTCGCGCTTGTATCAAAAGTTTTAGTGCTTGATACTCTAGATGCATTGGAATCATCATTAATTTCCATTTTCATTTCTTGCTCTTCGCATACTGCAACCGAGAGCTGATCGTCTGAACTTTGTTTGGATAATTGTGAATCTGCATTAGTAATTTCAACTGGTGGTAGCTCCTTGTTTTCATTTTCAAAGCTGTGGTTTGATTCGTGGCTTATTAAACCTAGAACATAAGAACACATTTAGCACTTGATAATATACAGTGATATTTATTAAGAAGTGGTAGACATAGGAATTTATGCTCGGATTTATGTGTATTATTTTTCCCTATGTCTACTGTCTGCTGAAGGACGCCTAATTTTATGCAACCAAAATAATTTTTTTAAACAAATAAAGATCTGGCTGTCATATTAATTTATTTGAATATTGTTGCTTTGGCTCCCGTAGCTTTATTTTCGTTTGTGTGCGATATATTCAACTGAAGAAACAGTTGAATATTGTTAATTGGTATAGTACCGGTAACAGTTTAAAAAGTGTAAAGATTTATTTTCTGTTAAGCCAAAGCACAAATATTCAAACTAATTAATATGACAGCCAGATGTTTATTTGTTTTAAAAAGTTATTTTAGATGTATAAAATTAGGCTTCCTTCAGTAGAGATTTTTTCTTTTAGAAGTAGACATAGAGATAAACAATTCACATAAATCTCTATGTTTACTTCTTAATAAATATCACTGTATGTAAGTACCTATGTAATTATTTATGTATTTATTTAAAATAACCCCTTCCTCACACAGCACAACCTTTTTTGAGAGATCGTTTTCTTTTAATGTATATATGATTTACAATAGCTTACCCAATCGTTTTAAGGGGTTACCTGTGAAGTTTTTAAATTGTAAATATAAAGATTTTTTGTTTAATGAACAATGAACATTTGGAAGGTAAACTAGCTTGTCACTACTAGCGTTGGGCAAAAAAATCGATTAATCGATTATAATCAAACGATAATCGATAATCGGGTTTGATTATTCTATTAAATTAATCGATTAATCGATTATTTGAATCGATTATTTGATTCATCGATTATTTGATTAATCGGTTATTTGATTAATCGATTGTTTGATTAATCGATTATTTGATTAATAGGTTATTTGATTAATCGATTGTTTGATTAATCAATTAACGTCACTTTAAGCAGCTAAAATGAATTAAGATTGTATCATCAAAACTAAAGCACACCTCATCGGAGAGTAAGCTGCCTAATCATTTATTTTTATTTATTTATTTTTATTTTTGACCTTCATTTTCAAATGGGCAGGGTTTCAGCCAAGGCTGTTCTACCAACCAACCCACTATGCATTTGCAAATATCCATGCCCGAACCCGGATTCGAACCAGGGACACTTTGTTGATTATTGATTAATCGATCTGCCTAGTAATGAACGATTTGATGAGTAATGGAATTATTTTTTTTTATTATTATTAAATAATTAACGTATTAATGCATACAAACAGATATTTATCACTCCTTGTATGTGACAATCGACTTTTGATTAAACGATTAGGTGATTAATCGATTATTTGGTTAATCGATGATTTGATTAATCGATAATTTGATTAATCGATGATTTGATTAATCGATTATTTGATTAATCGATTATTTGATTAATCGATTATGTGATTAATCGATTATTTGATTAATCGATTAATCAGTGTAATCGATTATTTTTCATAATCGATTATCGATTATTCAAACCCGTAATCGCCCAGCCCTAGTCACTACTAGATGGAATAACATATTCAGATAGATATTAGATACTTTTTACAACGCGTTTTCCAGAAGAACATTTACTTGCGACTTTGATTTTGTTTGTAGATATATATTGAGGTCGGATTGAAAAGCAGACGCTGATCTGAATCACACCTTACGGTTTAAAACTGCAGTAGTTTAAGTTTATTAAGCATTATAAGCATTTATTTTATTTTTTTCTTTACACTAATTTTTTTAATCAATTTTTTACAATTCTCTTTAAATGCTTTTTTAATGGTAACTGTCTCATTTGTTATATGGCTACTGCAGTTATTAAATAAAGGCATATTATTATGGTCGGTGCTTCTTGAGAAAAAAAAAAATTTCACACACGCACATTGGAAATCTAGGGTAGTATGTAATTCATACTTACCAACATAGCTATTGATAGGCCAACGCTATCAGGAACAAGGAAAACAACAACAAAAATTAATTATAATAATTCCTGTAAGTTTAGCAATTTTATTAAATGGAGTTTATTGTGTAAGTGTTTCTATTATTATTGTTATTATTATAATATAATTCTTGCTTGGGTTTTTTACGTTAATTATATTAATTGGCTCTTTATATAGGGTGATTCAAAAATGATGGATACAATTTTAGTTAGTATACATACATACAAGAAGATTACAAGCACTTTCGGACATTTCCGTTAATAACTTTTTTTCGGCTACTGCAAGGTACTCCGAGTTTTTTTTTATCGCCTCTAATTCGAGCAGCGAAAATTTTCCTACGGTCCAGTACCCCACGCGGGATACCTGCCATAAGCACAAGTGAAGGTACCAAAAGGGCACTTCTAAATAAGTTCGAAAAGCGCCAACTGGATCGCGTGCGTGAAGGTAGCCCATACTTCAGTACTCTTCTGTAGTACCGTTTGAGTACTATCTTAAAATGACAGCAAAAATTTAGTTCCTATGAAGGACACCGATATTTTTATGTACTGGCTGGCGGGATTTGGAAGCTAGCCAGTACACTGGATATCAATAACCCGCACACTAATATACAACGGTACTATTTAGTACTTCTTGGGTACTGAATACATACACAATCAGTTTCTTGGTCCCTCTAAGAGTTGCCTTGTACTGGCTACTGTCCAAATTCCGCTAGCCAGTACTCGTGAAATTGATAACCAGGATATAAACAAACAGCAGTACCATTTAGTACTGCTTAACGATTGCTTAAATGTAAAATCAGTTTTCTGATACCATTAGGATTACACTAGTACTCTAGCTAGTATAAATAAACATTAGTACGAGTTTGTACTTTCTAGGTAGTAAATGTAAATAGAATTAGTTGTGTGATAGCTTTAAAGATATACAATGCGATGAAAAATGATCGCCCATCTATTTTTACGCCACTATTACAGAGATGTCGCTAAAAATCGCTTGTCTAAAAGAAATCCGAAATTATTTTAATTACCAACAAATTTGTAATTGTTCGACTGCTCGCCTATCGGTGGGCGTTTTGAATTGGAATTTTGAATCGATATTTACTTTATTCTTACAGAAAAAACATTCTTCAACGTAAATACAGACATCTATTAATGACGAGCAGAAATACACAGACTAGCGCGAGCAATATTGTTTTAGTAAATCTGAACTAGACGAATGTCGAACGTATGCGATATGCACAATTTTGCTTGCAAAGTGACATTTGTTCGAGTGTTTCTTTCAAACAGTACGCCAATTTATCGCTGTGATTGTAAAATACGAGTATACACAGTGTCCATTTTTCGAGTGCCACTATGGGAATCTCGCTTATCTTAAGAGATAGAAACTTGATTAAATTAGGGCATAGTTGCGAATTTTCGTGCTGAATAATAATCTAAAAAGAAATTTATAATATCTTCAATAGTTTTGAAAATATGGCAAAAAATCGAAAATTTCTGATTTTCATTTTTAACTTTTTCATGGTAAACTAATTGTACTAGACCCTGTACTAGACATTTCTAATTAACACATTATTCAGACACTTTTTAATGGAGATTTCGAATATGGCATCCCGTTTTTAATAACTTTCAAGATAACGGAGGAACACGTGGCAACTTTAGTTTTTTATGGGCGCCGTTTTGGATTTTAACATTTTGAGATTAGGTCTTTTTTTTATCTTTACAACGATATATCACACATGGTGGTTCAGTATCACATTTTTCCTGAAAATACAATTTTCATTTTATGCGAAGAGTGCTAGGTATGCAAAAACAAAACGTTCTTTTGTTGTGAGCAAAATGTTGACTTATTTCAAGCAGTGTCATTTACGTTTGAGCTTGTTTTATTGCTAAAATATTATTTATCCTTATGTATTTTGTTCTAATTTGAATTATAATTTTCTTGCAAAACGAAGGTTCAATTCTGTTCATATGAAAATCGAATTTTCTCAACACATCTAGTTCCCTGATGCCAACACTGCAACCGGACATATGCATCAAACTGTCAAACTTTGGTTCACAATAAAAGAACGTTTTGTTTTTCCAAAGCCCAAAAAATTAAAAATTGTATTTTAGGAAAAATGTGATGCTGAACCACCATGTGTGATATATCGTCGTAAGGAGAAAAAAAGACGTAATCTGAAAATCTCAAAATTAAAAATGGCGCCCATAAGAAAAAGTAAAGTTGCCACGTGGTTCTCTGTCATCTTAAAAGTTATTTAAAACGAGATGTCACATTTGAAATCTCCATTGAAAAGTGTTCGAATAATGTGTTAATTAGAAATGTCTAGTACGACTAGTTTATCATGAAAAAATTAAAAACGAAAATCAGAAAGTTTCGTTTTTTTGCGATATTTTCAAAACTATTGATGATTTTTTAAATTTCTTTTCAGATGGTTATTCAGCAGGGAAATTCGCAACTTTGCCCCCATTTAACCAACTTTCTATCTCTTAAGGTAAGCGAGATCCCCATAGTGGCACTCGAAAAATGGACACCGTGTATATTGCAAAAAAATAATGTGGTTGAATAGAAAGTAAAAATGCCTTTAATTTGATGTGGCACTCCAAAATTCTTGAGGAGTTGCTGTGACACCCACGGGGTGGAGATTCCAAGTGTATGTTATAGATATTTCGTCCCCCTCAAAATCAAAATTGAGCTGTTTCGGAAGTTCTCCGAAAATGACCGCTTTTCCAGAAAAGGAGGGTCGAATTTTCGTTGGGACCCCCTGCATACTTACATATTCGTTTAATATCGGGCGATCGAAAATGATTGGTTGTCGAGTCGCCTTTGGAAGTTCAAGTTAAATATGATTTCCGAGATGATTTCACATGTAAACAAAAATTCCAAAGGCGACTAGACAGCCAATCATTTTTGATCGCATTGTATATCTTTAAAGCTGTCACACAACTAATTCTATTTACATTTACTACCTAGAAAGTACAAACTCTTACTAATGCTTATTTATGTACCGTAGGTACATCAATATTCCTTGTACTGGCTAGTGAGAATTAGACGGTAGACAGTACTAGTGTAATCCTAGATATCTAAAAAATGAACCGCACGTTGAATCAGTCATGAGCAGTACTAAATGGTACTGCTGTTTGCTTATGCTCTGGTTATTAATTTCCCATGTACTGGTTATCAGCATATGGACGGTGGTCAGTACAAGGTAATCCTTAAAAGTACCACTCAGTTGATTGGATATATATTTGCTACCTAGGAAGTACGAAATCATACTATCGCTTATTTATGTGCCGTACATCAATATCCATTGTACCTACTAGCTATCCAGATTTGGAAGGTAGCCAGTACTAGTGTATCCTAATGGTAACAGAAAACTGATTTTATATTTAATCAGCCCTTAAGCAGTACTAAATGGTACTGCTGTTTGTTTATATCCTGGTTATCAATTTCACGAGTACTGGCTAGCGGAATTTGGACAGTAGCCAGTACAAGGCAATTCTTAAAGGTACCAAGAAACTGATTGTGTATGTATTCAGTTCCCAAGAAGTACTAAATAGTACCGTTGTATATTAGTGTGCGGGTTATCGATATCTAGTGTACTTGCTAGCTTCCAAATCCCGCCAGCCAGTACATAAAAATATCGGTGTCCATAGGTAGCAAATTTTTGTTGTCGTTTTAAGATAGTACTCAAACGGTACACTACAGAGTACTGAACTACTGGCGCGTACGAACTACTGGCGCGTACTAGCTACCTTCACGCACGCCATTGGACCGCGTAATACGTTGCGAGTCTTAACCCAAAACTCTGGGCCTTTGGGGGGGGGGGGGGGAGGCGCAAAGTTTGTTGTTTGCCATTATAAATTTATTATGAGATTTATTACCACTGGTTGTTATTTTATTTTGTTTGTCAAGTAAAAATTCAATATGGCGTCCATAAGAAACAAAAAAGTAGCAACCTGTAGCTTCTACATCTCGTGCGCTATATATATTCTAATAAAGTACTAACAGATTCAGATTCTTCGAAAAAAGTGCCCATAAAAAGGGTAGGTACGTACTAACGAAAACCATCATATTCAGATTACTTCGTCACATCACAGTGATGGTGTAGTCTGAATGCTTTCAATGTAATATTTGACGTTTCGTTGGCAGTGCGGTGACGAAATGGTGGCGATACGTACAGTATGAATCACGCCTAAAGGTACGGTTTTGCTGGAGCTGTCAACGGCGGACCACTACACCTTATTATTTATTATGGAGGTGGTTTCCTTGGCGACCGTCAACGGCTCCAACGAAACCGTACCTTAATAAAACAATACCTACCTGAAATTCCAGATAAGTTGGAATCAACTGAATTTTCTTCGTGTATAAGAGTTTGCTCAATGGGTTCAAACGGAGGAGAATCATCTTCGTCCATTTTCTCATCCAATTTCTGCGATTCGTTACTAACATCCATTTTCTTTTCTTGCGATTCGGATTCTGGAGAGATGGCCTCTAAATCGTTAGGCAACAAATCCAATTTTATGTCACTTTTCATATCTTTTTTTAAATCGTCGAATGCTGTCGGTTTTTGGATCCCTAAAACTTTATAGACGACATTCTCGACTTGTGGCAGAAATATTGTGTTGATTTTCGGATTTACGACTTGATCGACAATACGCTCTACACCCGTTTCAAGGAAACCGGACCTGTGTAAGATGCTGTTTTAGTATGGACATTGAGAAACGAAATTGTGACTTACTCGGATATGTTTTTGCGTAACATTTCTCGAACTTGGTTTTTGTTCATGTCGGACCTCCACTTTTGTGATTTTAGGAAACCACTGACGCTTCCTTCCACCCTTTGCCTTAAGTTTTGATATGCAGGTTTGGTATCAACGTCGGCGATGCATTCTTTTCGTAAATTATCGAATATTCCCTGAGACTTTAACTCATATACGATGTGATCGATTAATCTTGGGTCACCCGGCAGATACGTGTTATTTACAACTTCCATTAGTCTAGTCAATAACTATAATTCGCTTGTTTACAAAAATTCAGAATGTTGTGGATTTCTGACACAACCCAACTCGCCGTACAAAAAAAGATCTAAACGTCGTCCTTAGTTACAATCTGCGCATGCGCAAGAAACGTCAAACGGGCAATTGTTTTTAATTAAAATGTAGGTTTTAGGTTAGGTTATTGTGAGAAATGCAATAAATTGTTTTCATCACATTCACAATGAATAAACATATTCGTAATGTACATTTAAACTCGCAAACTTTTGAGGTTGTTATACCAAGAGCAGCAGCAGTATAAAATCTGAAAAGTACAGTATAAGCCCCACGTTCATAAATCTTAACCCAAGACACTTCAAATACCTACGTATCGCTCATAAACCGGACGGCTACTACGGTGATCAAACTGGGACGCTCCTACTGGCATAAGTGTACAAATTTGCTTTCCGACCGCCTCCAATAAGACAGCCCGATTGTAGTTAACAACCGACACAAACATGCAGTCACGTAGTTGCATTGTTAGTGCACTACATCATCAGACCAACACTAACCGCGAGCACGAAGGAATGTGCCTTCAAAACCAGGCCGTATAAGACCATGCACCATGTCGTTGGCATACGTGAACATCAGACATGCACGTCTCAGCATTAAATTGAATGTTTGCTACTTGTAGGTTGTAGTTCTTTGTCCAAAGATGCCTTGCAAGCGGTCCGCTAGAGTTTATGTGTGATCGCAAACCCGAACACAACGACAGTAAGGTCGCAAAGTTTCTAACGTGTGCTACAAGATTTCAATTACTATTGCACGCATTCCACAAGAAAGTTTTCAAGAAATGTATGCGGGGGGGGGGGGCGAAGCGATGTGAGCCGCCCCCGCATGAATTTTACTACTCCATCGCACCCTAAAAATACATAATAATAATAATAAGTGCCATTTATTAGACTTCTAAGATAAACATAAATCAATATAAAACGGTAAAAAAAACTATATTGTAGCCAAAAGCCTAAGAGGGCGAAGTTCAGATGTTCAGCATGACATGTGATACTTCGCTGCTCTACCACTTAACCCTTACTAATCTTAGTAATAATACCTTGCATGAAGGTGGAATGAAAAATTAAATTAACAAAGGCAGTAGCTATTGATGACGATAAGAAGAAAACTTACATACAAGGAAAGGAAGGAAATTGCGAAAAAATGGGCGAAAGAAAGACAATGATATTACTGCTGACTATACTTACTGCCTAAGTAAAAAATACCTTGAAAATGGTTTTTAAATGTAGCGCTATTCATATATTTTTTTAATTCATTTGAGAGGTCGTTGTATACTTTGGCAATATTATAAGCATAGCATCTCTCATACCTGCGTGTTTTGTGAAATGGTGGTGCCCTATGAACAAACGAGAGCGGTATATTCACTACTGTGGTCATGTATTTAAGTTCAAATGAGAACCCGCCATGTTTCTCCGCCATCTACAGGCGAACCACTGCACTTACTAGCGCTTTCGATATAAATATGGTGGGAAACACCTCTAGGGTCACTTTATAATGAAGAATTTTCGTACAAATTTCCTTTAATTGACCATAAAATCACTTGAAACTTATGTGTTATCTCTGTAATGACCCCAAGAAGGCAATAACGAAAATTCATGGACATTTGATTTCATAAAAAATTAAAATTGCCCATTTTCAAGAATGTAATTAACCTATTTATAGCGAATGTAGATCGATGAAAATTCGTGCAATGCTAACTTTTTTTATTTATGAAGATATTTAAATGAAACTTTATATGTGTAAGTGTTGAGTGAAGGATTTAATTACTCAATGGTATAAGCACTACTAAAATTAACGACGTTTTCAAAATGTTGCTTTGCGCAGGCGCACTGCCAACTTTCTTATTTATGGAGGTAATGTAAGCAAGTTAGTTCGTAAAACAAGGAATAGAAGAAAAAATTTATAAAGTTTTAAAAATTTGGATATGAACTCTCAGTAGGGACCCAAATACAGATCTGAAAAGTTCCCACCTCCCCTTTTGCCCAAAACACCACTCCCAATCGTGACCTCGCGAATTTTTCGGGGTTTTGCTCGTAAACCACAACTTCTACAAAAAAATGTTATAGGACTTTTTATATTCTTCATTAAATTCTCTATAAAGATGTTTCTTACTGTTTTTGGGTATCTCCCACCCAACGCTCGTAAATGACCTTGGAAAATAAGCATAGTTTTCAGCGCAAAGAGAAAAATGAGCCCACCACTGTTTTTTTGCGGCGATTATCTCGTAAAGTGAATCTGAGTAAAAAAATTTATAGAATCGAAATTAAAGAGCAGTTTTTTTTTCTACATTGCATGTTCTATTTTTGAATCTTTGGTAAATGTACATGAGATAAATGCATCAGTTACAATCATTATTGTTGCCGCGAGACGAGACGAGACGAGACTTTCAAAGTCTCGTCTCGTCTAGTGTCGTTTGGTCTCGCGTGGTCTCGCCATACTATCCAAAAATGGCGTAAAGCATGTATAAAAGACACCACGAAGGCATAACAAATAATATTGACCTTCCTTATCTATCTGCTAATCACGAAACATAATTATGTGTATTATAAGGATTTTCTTTACCATTCTGCAGCTAAAAAAATATTAGCTTTCGCAAAATTTAACTGGTAATGTAACTACTGTAACTAGGTATAGAAAAGTCTCACTGAATTCTTTGTTATTTAAATACTTAAAGATAATCTGTCCAAGTTATTTTGTAAAATCTTACTTTTATGGTCTTAACTACGCAGTAAATATGTAAGTACTTATACTTACAGTAACTATATTTGAATATGTCATATGTCCACAGTATACATTTTACCTTAAGCAGCGCCTTTGTTCCCAGAATTTCGCAAGAACACAAAAAAGTGTAAACTCATACTAAAGTACCTAGGTATAGCATTTTAGCCCCAATATGGCGACCAGAACGAGCTACCAATCAAAAACGAGATACCCGGTTGTATCCACTGTTCTAAATTGAGTCACTATACCTATATACCTAGAAACGATTGGATTTAATGCCATAAACTTGTGAAAATAAAATGAGAGCATTAAGGGCATTTAATATAAAGCAATCCTATTAAGTATTATTACCAAATCTCTTGATAAGGGTACAGGTTTAATAAATCAATTGTCCGCCAATAAAATAAAGCTGTCGAAGACTTCATGGATTTAAGAAAAATTACAGTTGTATAATATAACACCTATTGTAATTAAGTCCTAAATCAGTAAGGTCAGGAACGGTTTATGTCAACAATTGGAATGCATGTTATTTCAATGGATTTTCTTGATTAAAATTAAAAAAAAAACAGTAAAATAAAACAAAAAAAACTTCGAGACCAAACGAGAGTCGAGAGCCCGAGACTGATGGTTAGTCTCGTCTCGTCGAGATGAGACAAGAGGAGACTGAACCTTGGTCTCGTTTCGAAAATTCGAGACGAGACCAACGGGGGCATCACTAACCATCATATCACAAATAGTGAATAATTAATATTTAATTTCTTCATCACTCTTTCTCCATCGGACAAAGCCATTCGCTTTTTGAGAGAATATTAAGGAAAGGGCGTATAGTTCCCATGACTTACACATTTCGAAAGTTTTAAAGGGTTGCAAATATAATATTTTATTTGCCCTTTTGCCTTTTTTTTAGGAGAGGAAAATCGCAGACTATAAACTTAATAAATTGAAAAAAGAATTTACAAGAAGTGGTTGTAATATAAAATAATCCCTCATCGACGAAAATTGCTCTTTAATTTCGATTCTATACATTTTTTTGCTCAGACTAATACAAGGTCATTTACGAGCGTTGGGTGGAAGATACGCAAAAAACAGTAAAAAACATTTTTATAAAGAATTTAATGGAGAATATAAAAAGTTCTATAACATTTTTTCGTAGAAGTTTCGGTTTACGAACAAAACGCCGAAAAAGATCGTGAGGTTACGATTGGGGGTGGTTTTTTGAGCAAAGGGGGTAAAGCTCCCACCGAGGAGGTGGGAACTTTTCAGATCTGTATTTGGGTCCCTACTGAGAGTTCATAACTAAAATTTCAAAACTTTATAAATTTTTTCTTCTAAAAAAGCTAATTTTCCTACACTAAGGGATTTAAATGAAATTTTATACATAGGCATTTGGAATTAAGACAAATCTAACACCAGTTGCAAAATTTTGTTTTGCGCATGCGCAATGGCAACTTCCTTATTTACTGAAGCATTCAAATGAAATTTAATACACTGGGAATACAATCAAATCTAACGCGAGTTTTAAAATTTGGTTTTGCGCATGCGCAATGGCAACTTTCTTATTTATGAAAGAAGTTAAATGAATTATATGTAGGCACCTTGCTTGAATGAAACTAAAACTAATACCGGTTTCAAAATTACTGTTAACGCATGTTGTTTTATTTATGTAGGTATTCAATAAAATTTCTAATGTAGACAATGCGCAATGCCATTTACGAAAGCATTTAAAAGAGTTTCATGAATAGAATGGGACAGAATTAACTATTAGGAAGAACATACGCTCTCGTCATTTATGTTTGCATAAGGACTTTTTAACTTTTAAAATATATGCATTATCATAATAGATGGAAATAATATCTTTAAGTACCGCCGTAGGAAATACTGTCGGATTTCCAAATTGGTGCTGTACGTTTTTCTACTCCCATTACAACGGCTGTTATTTACGAAAAACGATTTTTCTATTCACCGATCTTCCTAACAAACTACTAAGACCGAGATTTCGACTTTTCGCTGCTATTTGGATCGAATTGTCTCTACTTGCTTCGAATAAAATGACAAACTGACAAATCAATACAATAATTTGAAATTGAACTGTTCGCACCAAAGGGTTACTCTTTGGTTCGCACTGCTCTCTAGAGAACTCTGATTAGGTGTAACGCCTGCCCACATTTTCAACTTCAAGGTCAGATGATAATAAAACCGAAACATATTGCACTGTTGCTGGATTCATACAGTCAGTTTCGTTGAAATCTCTTAGTACGTAAAACTTCCGATCGTCAGCGAAAACTCACTTTTCGTCCTTGGTCAGGGGTGGATGGGGAACCATAAACTGGCCCGT